AGAGAATTTATGCAAAGAGTGGGATGGGGAAAAGCAAAATTAAGAAGGGAACCATACAGGCAGGACGTGTTCATCAGGTTAAAGACTTGCACCCTGGGATTAAGTAGGATTAAGGAAATGCACAAACAAAGGCAGGGCTCTGGTATCGTGTACTTCATTGCTTGCTCAAATTATAAACTGTCCTATCGCCCAAATCAGGTGAACTGCAATCAGCATATTGGGAATTGCATCTGCAGCAGAAACTGTGTTTCACATCGCTGTCTGGAGGCAATTCCTGGTTAGTGTGGACCAAAGCTTCCCCCAATTGGAGCAGAACAGCAAACTTTGACTAGGACAAACCAGGCATGAGATGAGGGAATCCGCACACATGGGGAGAGGAGGGAGTGTGAGAGCCTGAAGGGAATTCCAGACCATTATTTGACAACTAGCTGCCATGACATCCTTTCCTTGGGGAATGCGAAGGGATGCACATGAAGTTGACAAACACTTAAAACAAAGATGCTAATTTCCATCTGCTCCAGCACTCTGTTCGAAAGAGTCATAGGCTCTTGAGCATCTCTGTATGTAGGGACAGCATTGCTTTGCCCTTTGGAAAATACCCCCGAGACATCCTTCCAATAAATGAAACTGAAATGAATTTTGCCTCCGCTGCAGAATATCATCTGGGACTTATGAAAGGCTGACTCATCTACCACACAACAGCACGAGAGAGTGTCACAAAGTGTTGTGCCCCATGGGGATCCTTGGGGTCTCTAACGGTTAGATCACAACTAAGTGACAACAAGTGACCTCGAGCGCACAGCCTTATTTAAGAACTAAGGTGCCTGGCAGGATCAGACCAATGTCCCCAAAATTCAGCATTCTTGAGTTTCAAGAATCTCAAATCTCAGTTATGCAAATGCATAAACTAAGATATGAAACCAGCATTGAGTCATGGGGAAACTAAGAAAGCTGAACAAGCCCTGTACCAGGGGTCATTAATGTGGTGCCCTCCACATATTGGACTACACCTCCCAAGAGCTCCAGCCAGCATGGCCAATGGCCAAGGATGATGGGACTTGTAATCCAACATTATGAGGACTCCGTGCCGATGACCCTTGCCATTCACTTTCAAGTTTGTAATAAACCATTATGCATTTGGTGGTCCAGCAGTGGTCCACCTCAGACTGTGCTCCCCTTTCTAACCTATCCTGATCTCTGCTGGAGGCAGCATCCTATTCTCTGGGTGTTGCCAGCGCATCAGATTCTTCTGTACGTTGTTCAGAATGGTTTTGGGAATCTGGCTTTTTTTGTTGTTGCTGTGGTTCTGGGTGGTTTTAAGCAGGTAGTAGTTTTGATTAGGCGTCTAGAAGCTGTCAGCAGGCGAAAGCAGTCACACCCTGGGAATGGCTTCCAATGGCAGGTTAAACCAGGTGATGATATTGAATGGGTCTCAAACCCTCAGTGCATCGAGGGCTTCCTTTGCATGCAAAAACAGGCTCTGGCACATTGGGCAGACAAGACTAACAGTGGGTCCAACCGTCAAGAGGGCAGTTTCTGCATGTGCTGTAGAGGGAATTGAGGGGCAGATGGGGCTCGTCCACCTGGGAAGTTGGCCACCTAGGAGAAATAAAACTCTGATCCTAAACCTCTGCTGCCTTGCGGGATATCCTAGGGGGGAAGAAAAGGCTAAGGAATAAACCCTACACAAATCCAGAGTCCCTGAGACAGTTGGATGGCGCCTTGTACACCTTCCGGCAACTCCTGCAGCCAAGCTGGTGCCAAATGTCTTGCTCTGCTTTCCTTTGGACCACATCAGCGAGGTCTGGGCAGCCCAGGACCTCCAGACACACTGCCCAGACTTGTGCCCCAGGGAGATCATTTTGGTGCTGTTAACACAGCGGTTTGACTTCACACCTGCACATGCACTCCACTGTCTCTTGAGACAGACAGATGCCAAAAACAACAAGTCTGATAGTGTTTTAGCTTATGCTTTAGATGGTGACTTGTCACCCAGAGTATTTTTGTTATTTTTATTAAAAAAGGCAAGCTATTGATACCCAAAACAGATAAACAAGATGTGTCACCCTTTAAAACATTCCCTTCCTGAAATATTATCTGTGAAGTGGCACTCGATATTCAGGGTATTAAAACAAAAGCAACCAGAGGAGAATATACACTGCAAGATGTTTCTCTCACCACTATCTGGCAGGACACCCCAGCCAAATTCTATAGGGTGGGGTGGCTGATTTAGAACGTTTCCAAAATGTCCCCTTGGCCATCTGCATAGGATACCACTAAGTCTGAGGTGGGGAACTTGTGGTGTTCAGGCGCTGCTGGACTCCCAAAACCCCACCAGTCCCAGTGGCCAACCATAGTTCAGCAACACCTGGAGAGCCACAGGTTCCTCACACCTGCAAAAAGGCATCCCTATTCCACCCTCTACAAGCTCCATCCAGGTGTGGTGAGCTAAGTGGAAGGTTAAAACCGTGTTTATGGAAGACAATCTTACTCGGCTACAAGTGATCGCCAAAGAAGAAGACCCTCTTATTCCAACAGGCTTTTGGGAACTGACTGCTTTTAATGAAAGTGCTGGCGCTGTGCTGTTTTTATCGTAATGATCTGTAGGCTTTTAATATATTTGCTATCCCTCAACGTTTAATTGTTTCTTAATGTCTCCTCCTATTGTTTTAGCTGTTCTTAGTTTATCTGTAAGCCACCTTGAGCCCGGGGGGAGGCAATTCCTGTGACCCTTCATCCAAGGATCACAGGACAGTTTGCAATTTTTCAATTAGGAATAATCGCGTCTCGGATTAACCTCCCTGGGATAAGTATATAATTATGATACCCACAGTGGAGTAGCCATCAGGCACCAAGGTGTTTTGTGCGGTCTCTCTCCAACCTAATAATCTAACATAACCCTAATTGGAAGGGGAAGAATGATTTGCAAAGGGTCCTTTTTGCTACTTCCCCATGCAAAATGCATGCATGGCACAACTATCTGACACAGAGTGACTCTATTAAATCAATCAGAGCCAATGTGATGCGGAAGTCAGAGGGTCGGAAATATGGGACTTCAAACCAGCCGCCTTCTCTCAGCCTAACCTACCTTGCAGGGATGTTGTGGGGATTCATTTATTTATAATTGCTTTGCCCAAGGCAAATTTGCAATGAAGAGGAGGAGAAACACTTTGAGTTCCCTGGAGGGTGGTAGGAAGGGCAGGATGCAAATGCAGCAAATACATACAAATTATTATAATAGGCTGGTGCCCGTGCCGGTTTATTGCAATTATTGGTACGGTTTTAACTGATTTTTAAATATGCGCATATACATATATATATATATATATATACACACATATGCACGGTTTGAATTCTACTTCCCTCTTTTCCCCCGTTACCTACTTCATGTTTGCATTCTTACATTGCAAACCGCCCTGCGTGACCTTCAGATGAGGGGCGGCGTGCGAATTTAATAAAATAAAACAAAATCCCCGCGTATGGTGGTTTTTTGCAGCCATGGTTTTCCCACTCCCGCCCCATCTACGCATTTAGAGGTTGTTGGGTTTTTAAAAAATAATCTGGAAGCCGCCTCTAATCCCTAAAGACCCGGGGGCCAAAATTACGGGTAACGGAATGATAATAATCCTAATTATTTTCCGGGGGGGGCGGTGCTCACGACCTTTCCAAATCACGCCTCCCACCCCTCCGACCCCCAACCTTTGAGGGGATGTCGGGGAAGAAGCGGACCCGTCAATCCTCCACCACCCCCACCCCCGCCGCGCGTTAAGGAGGCCGCGTTGGAGCGTCTCCGCCGCGCACGTCTGAACGCGCCGACCCGCGTCGACTCACAGAACTCGGCGATGTAGTGGGAGACGACGTAGTTCTCCTCGCACCAGTCCAGGGTGGAGGTGGGCTTCCCCCAGTAGCCCTCGCGGTCGCCGGCGGGAGCCATGGCGCTGCGTGACGCCGGGCGGGCGAGGCGGGATGAGGGGGAGAGAGAGAGAGAGAGGCGGCCGGCGGGCTCGAGGGAAGGAGGGCGGCGGGGTTAAAAAGAAAAAGGAGGGCGGCCGCCGCTCCCTGGATGGGCCGTCCGCCGAGCTGGCCCCGCCCTCGGCGGCGGCGGCGAGAGAGGCCCGCCTCGCAAGGAGGAGAAGGAGGCCTGCTCCTCCTCCTCTGAAGCCGGGCCCGGCCTCCGCGTCGCCATGGAGACGGGCTGAGGCCTACGCGCTCCGCCGCGCCTACGCGGCCGCCGACCTCACTGCTAATGGCCGCGGAGGCCTCACTACGCCGACCTCCTGACTGGGGAGAGGCACTGAAAGAACTCATAATGAGGATAATAGTGATGAAGATAATAATAATAATATTGATTAATAATAGGGGGAAGGGGGGCTGAGAAAGGGCCTGCTTATTGACAGGGGGCTCTGGAGGCAGAGAAGGAACTAATAATGACAATAATAATAATAATAATAGTGAGGGTGATAATAATAATATTAATTAATAATAAGGGGAAGGGGGGCTGAGAAAGGGCCTGCTTATTGACAGGGGGCTCTGGAGGCAGAGAAGGAACTAATAATGATAATAATAATAATAATAGTGAGGGTGATAATAATAATATTAATTAATAATAGGCCGAGCAGGGGGAAGGGGGGCTGGGAGAGGGCCTGCTTATTGACAGGGGGCTCTGGAGGCAGAGAAATAACAAATAATGATAATAATAGTGGTGGTGATGATAATAATATGAATTAATAATAGGCCGAGCTGGGGGAAGGGGGCCTGAGAGAGGGCCTCCTTATTGACAGGGGGCTCTGGAGGCTGAGAAAGAACTAATAATGATGATAATAGTGAGGGTGATGATAATAATATTAATTAATAATAGGCTGAGCAGAGGGAAGGTGGTCTGGGCTAGGGCCTGCTTATTGACAGGGGGCTCTGGAGACAGAGAAAGAACTAATAATGATAATTATACTGATGGTGATAATAATATTAATTAATAATAGGCCAAGCAGGGGGGAGGGGGGCTGGGAGAGGGCCTGCTTATTGACAGGGTGCTCTGGAGGCACAGAAAGAAATAATAATAATGATAATAGTGGTGATGATGATGATGATTAATAATAGGCCGAGCAGGGCTGAACTGCTCTGGAGGCAGAGAAAGAACTAATAATGATGATAATATTAGTGATGATAATATTAATAATTAATAATAGGCCGAGCAGAGGGAAGGGGGTGCTGGGCAAGGGCCTGCTTAGTAACAGGGGGCTCTGGAGGCAGAGAAAGAACTAATGATGATGATGATGATGATGATGATGATATGAATTAATAATAGGCTGAGCAGGGGGAAGGAGTGGCTAGGCGAGGGCCTGCTTATTGACAGGGAGCTCTAGAGGCAGAGAAAGAAATAATCGCAATAACAATAATAATACACTGGATCAAGCTAAAAACATCCATTATTGCAGCCTGTTACAAACTATTGGATACCAAAGCAAGAAACACCAGGACTGGTTTGATGAGAATGACAGTGAGATTGAACGCATGATTGACAAGAAAAGGAAGGCCTTTCAGATCTGGCAAAGAGATAGATACTGTGTCACTAAGAAAAAAACCTATGCCAACGCTAAGGCTGAGGTTCAAAGAAGAACCAGAGAACTAAAAAACACCTGGTGAATAAAAAAAAGCTTAAGAGATCCAGCACTTAGCCAACACTCATTATGCACAGAGTTTCTTTAAAGCCGCAAAGAAAACCTATGGGCCAATAAATCATGGCATACGCTCAACAGATGGTATCACACTTCTAAAAGATAAATAAGTTATTGCATTGCGCTGGAAAGAATATTACCAACATCTCCTTAATCACAACTACCCCATACCTGCTTAAGTCCTCTCACAAATCCCGCAAAAACAAATTAGAGATGAGCTTGCAGTATGTCCAAATCTGGGAGAGTTGTTTACAGCTACTAACCAAATGAAAAACAACAAAGCCAGTGGATCTGATGGGATACCTGCCCAAATCTTCAAAGCGGGCGGAATTGGAATTACACAACAACTTCACATAGAAACAGAAATCGTGAGGCGGTGGCACAGCAACAGTGGAAGGCCCCATTAGCTAAAGTGGTGCTTCAGGTTAAGTACAGTTTCAGGTTAAGAACGGACCTCCAGAAAGAATTAAGTTCTTAACCCGAGGTGCCACTGTATAAGCACTGACAACTTGGAAACACTGGCCTGCGAGTGCTCCAGTCGGAGAACAGCCTTTACAAAAAGTGTCATGGTCTTTGAAGACACTCGAACTCTGGACGCAAGGGAGAAATGTGCTAGAAGAAAGATCAGCTCCTGCCCGGAAACCAATGTCCCCACTGTGGACGGACATGTGGATCCAGAATTGGCCTCCACAGTCTCTTACGGACTCCTTGTTAAAACTGTGTTTATGGAAGACAATCTTACTCGGCTACGAGGGATCGCCGAAGAAGAAGAAGAAGGGGGTGGGGCTAGGCCTGCTTATTGACAGGGGGCTCTGGAGGCAGAGAAATTAATAATAATGATGATGATGATAGTAATAATAATAAAAGGTCGGGAAGGGGGGCTGGGTGGGGGCCTGTGTGGCCACCTACCTGCTTATGTCAAGGCGGAGACTGCAGCCTTTAGGGGATCATGAGGAGAACTTTTGAAAACGGTCCTGTTGGAACTTGTAGTGCTTTTTTCTATAAGCATACGGTAGTTTTATTGATTTCCAATACGTAACAACAATTACAATCTACAGAATAGATTTCTTCTATGGCATGTTGTTAGTAGTTCTTGAACTACCCTGAGATCTGTGGGTATAGGGCGGTATACCCATTGTAGTAGTAGTAATAATAATAATAATTAAAAAATAATTATTACATGGAAAAGAAAAATGAAAGGACAACATCCCAATGTTCCCTGCTCCAGGCTAGATCAATCTATTTAAGTGTGCCTAAGTCCAGTCTGTGACTTCAGTAGCAGCTGTCCTTAAGGTTTATCAGTAAAGTCCTTTGTAAAAGGACGCCATGTTTCAACAAAATTGTCTACATCATTTGCATTATTCAATATATGTAATCGCTTGGTTAATATTTCAGATACGGCGATGGACCATACATTCCATTTCCAAGGAGAAACGCACAGATGTTGCAATCTGTGCCACTAGTAGGCGTCCTGCTACTAAAATAAAAGTAATTTGTTATTTGCAGTAAAGTTCAGATTGCCCTTCTTTTAAAATAGTTACCTACCCCAAACGTGGGGTAGGTTATTTCTTGTCATGCCTTTAACGTCAAATCTGTTTCCACTTTATTTACTTCCTTTCATATCCTTTCATTTGTTCCTTCCCTCTGCACCACTTGTTGTAAAACAGCAACAACAAGTGGCCTGCAAAAGAGATGCAGGCATTGGAAAGAATGGAGCAGGCACCACCTGCTTAATAATAATAATAATAATAATAATAATAATAATAATATTTATACCCTGCCCATCTGACTGGATTGCCTCAGTCACTCTGGAGGGCTTGATCTCAATAGGCAGGTAGTTCCCACACTAAATGGTTGAGTTCTTACGAATGCAGAAAAGGTATATAGAATCGTAGAATAGTAAAGTTGGAAGGGACCACAAGGGTCATCTAGCCCAACCTTCAGCAATGTAAGAATCTTTTGTCCAACATGGGGCTGGTGGGAGCTAAAGTCCAGCGACACCCAGAGAGCCACACCTTCACCTGCTCTAAAACAGTATGTAGAACAATCAATCAATATAAAGCAGATTAGCGTCCCGTCCTCTCCCGCTGAGCAGAACGAGTTTGTGGGTTGAAGTTAAGAAGCCAGTACTACCGTTCCCACAAACAGATGTTAAGTGGCTTCTCAATTCAGATGAGAATGGCCTCTTCCCACACATGGAATCTGGGCACCAAAGAGCATCCACCACTTTTGGAGCAGCACAATTTTGGATTATGATTACGATTACAATATCTTTATTGTCATTGTCCCTTGCAGAACAATGAAATTGAAAAACTACATAAAACTACATAAAAACTACATAAAACTACTTCCATCCTGCAAACACGCATCCAAACAAACTTGAGCATTTCCCAGAAATGTTGAGCGATACTTTTAGGCTGGCTAGTTGCACCCTTCACCGAAAGTGAAACTTTCAGAAATGTTTGCGTAGGGTGCTACTTGAGAGAAACATCTGAGGAATTTGAGGGAAAGCCAAGGACAGTTCCGATAACGCTAGCAAATATTTCTATGGGAGTTTCACACTTCCCTCCCCTCTGGTTTTTGCCTACCCCAGCATTTGAAGTAATGCAAATGGTGACGCTTGAATGTCATTTCTCTGGAGTTTTTGCACATTTCTGCTTGTGGGATGCTAGCTTGTATGATTTTGGATGGGTTTTAATGGAAATGGTTACATCTCTTAAGCCCTAGGGATGCAGTTGCTGGTTATAAACTGTTAAGGTGGTGCCACCTAGAGGAACCAAAACAGCTTTGCTGGGTATTTACTGTATTGCAAAGATTGAGGGCACAAGGAGAAGGGGACAACAGAGGATGAGATGGTTAAACAGTGTTCTCGAAGCTACCAGCATGAGTTTGACCAAACTGCGGGAGGCAGTGGAAGACAGGAGTGCCTGGCGTGCTCTGATCCATGGGGTCACGAAGAGTCGGACACGACTAAATGACTAAACAACAATTCTTCAGGACTTTCCCTCCCAGACAGGAGATGGCAGAAGAAGAGAGAAAGAGACCATACCATATGTGGAGCAGCGATGTTGCTCATCCTGGACCTGTGTTCTTGAGGTGGTGCCACTTCCCCCAACAGCTCCAGAACTTCTCCAGTGGGTCCCAACTTTGGAACTGCCTTAAAGGAACCTTCATGCCCTGGTGCCTTCAGGCAGTGGGTGCGAGAGCCACTACCAGTCCATGCTGGCAATGTTGAGCTAAATGTACTAACGCTCTGAATTAATAGAAAGCAGCTCCTTATGCTCCTCGGTACCAGCTGATTCTGAAGGCTGATCGCTGAAGAATTGATGCTTTTGACTTATGGTGCTGGAGGAGACTCTTGAGAGTCCCATGGACTGCAAGAAGATCAAATGTATCCATTCTTAAGGAAATCAGCCCTGAGTGCTCACTGGAAGGACAGATTGTGAAGCTGAGGCTCCAGTACTTTGGCCACCTCATGAGAAGAGAAGACTCCCTGGAAAAGACCCTAATGCTGGGAAAGATGGAGGGCACAAGGAGAAGGGGACAACAGAGGACGAGATGGTTGGACAGTGTTCTCGAAGCTACAAACATGAGTCTGACCAATCTGGGAAGCAGTGGAAGACAGGAGTGCCTGGCGTGCTCTGGTCCATGGGGTCACGAAGAGTCGGACACGACTAAACAACAACAACCAGCTGATTCTGTTTTTTGTTGTTGTTGTACTGTTATTCTTCAAGGACAGGCCAGTAGAGGGCAGTGGGCCAATGCAGATCAGACCCTCAAGGAAAGGCAGCGCTTGTCCGGAGATGAGTAAACAGGCTGCCTTCACTTCCCAACAGGAGACTTGGCAGGAGAAATGGAGACAGACGCACAAAACCGCCCCAACATCTCCTTGCGCTGTGAGAAGAAAAGGGGGAAATGGAACTATTGAACGGTTCACCGGCATGGAATTCAATAGAGTGCACAGTTCTTAAGTGAAATCTCTCATACGGCACCATAAAAGACCTCATTATCCTTCACTTTTGCAGAAATGGAAAGGGCTATTTGGATAAAGGAAGAGGTAGGGCTGTGATTTTTTTAGTTTGAAAAAGGGCAGTCTTTCAAAGAGGAAACAGAGATGTTTCTCGATGAAATACAAAGTGGGCAGTACCGTAGCTTTTAGTCAAGCAACTTAGGGCTGGTCTCCATTGCCAGCAGCTGGGATTTTATTAAGGCCATAGATGAACTGTAGAGCTCATGCAAAGCAGAGGATCCCAGGTTGGTCCCTTGGTAAAAAGGGTCAGGTGGCAAGGGATGAAAAAGATCTTTTTTCTGCCTGAGACCCTCGAGATCTGCTGACAGTCAAAACCAGGGGCAGGCAACCTAAGGCCCGGGGGCCGGATGCGGCCCAATTGCCTTCTCAATCCGGTCCACGGATGGTCCAGGAATCAGTGTGTTTTTACATGAGTAGAATGTGTCCTTTTATTTAAAATGCATCTCTGGGTTATTTGTGGGGCATAGGAATTCGTTCATTCCCCCCCCCCGCCAAAAAAAATATAGTCCGGCCCACCACATGGTCTGAGGGATGGTGGACCGGCCCACGGCTGAAAAAGGTTACTGATCCCTGGTCAAAACAGACAAGACTGGGCTGGATGGATCAGTGGTCAGCCTTGGAATCGGATTTCATATGTGTGCCTCCGGGGGCGAAACCAAACCGCTGGAGAATCATAGCGCCTGCTGTGGCTGCAGAGACCGGTAACTCGTAACTACTGCCTCTCACATTATTTTTGCTGCATTAGCAGCACCAACGTGACCTCCCCAGGGCACAAGCCTGGGCTGTGTGCATGGAGGTCCTGGGCTGCCCAGATGACAAGACCCCTCCTCTCAGTCTTGCTGATGTGGTCCGAAGGAAAGCAGAGCAATACGTTTGGCACCCGCTTGGCTGCAGGAGTTGCCAAAAGGAGGCATATAAGGCGCCGTCCATCCACCTTAGGGACTCTGCTCCACATTTTCTTCTCACAAAGATGTCCTACATAGATTTACAATAACATCACCTGATCCTGATTTGACATATGTCTCACTTCTTCCCTCTCCTTCTCCCCATCTCAACCTTGGAAAAGCAAGGGATGGTGACGGGAATAATTCCACATACCTTACTGTATTTTTTGCTCTATAAGACACACCAGACCATAAGACGCACCTAGTTTTTGGAGGAGGAAAACAAGAAAAAAAGTATTCTGAATCCTAGAAGCCAGAACAGCAAGAGGGATCTGGCTTCTGGGATAGCCTCTTGCTGTTCTGGCTTATGGGATAGCCGCACACAGCCTCTCCCGGGCAGCGGGAGGAAGGCTCCCACTGCCCGGGAGAGGCTGCGCTCGGCTAAGCCAGGACAGCAAGCGGGATCACTGCGCACACACATTTCCCCTTACTTTTTAGGAGGGGGAAAGTGCGTCTTATAGAGCGAAAAATATGGTACATCTTGATTGTTATGGCAAACCAATGGCTTTCCAGATGGTGTGGGACTCTCCATTCCCATCTGCCCCAGTCAGCGTAACCAAAGACCTGGGGTAGCTCAGTCGGTAGAGCACAAGACTCTTAATCTCAGGCATTGCAGGGGGTTGGAATAAATTGTCGCCGTGGTGCCTTCCAGCTCTACAGTTCTTTAATTGATGGGACTTGGGACTTGCAATCTTGCAACATCTGAAAGACCACAAGTTTACCACCCCTGCTCTAGATGAATAACACAGGTGTGGTGCAGGGCACAGGAGAACAGACCTCAGGATCTACTTGCCAGATCTGCTTTTGCTCCTTTATTAGAACACCAAGATCTACCAACCAGAGCCAGGTGCAAAAGACAGACAGCCTGTTCTTTAATTAAAACTAAGAACAGGCCGTCTTCGAGCACACACTAAGCCTAGCTACATTCACACGGCTGTTTCCTCTACCTGTTAGTTTCTGCCTTTTATCTGATATTTCACAAGGTGTAAAAGCCATCACTGCAGATGGTGACAGCAGCCACAAAATTAAAAGACGCCTGCTTCTTGGGAGAAAAGCAATGACAAACCTAGACAGCATCTTAAAAAGTAGAGACATCACCTTGCCAACAAAGGTCCGTATAGTAAAAGCTGTGGTTTTCCCAGTAGTGATGTATGGAAGTGAGAGCTGGACCATAAAGAAGGCTGATTGCCGAAGAATTGATGCTTTTGAATTATGGTGGTGGAGGAGACTCTTGAGAGTCCCATGGACTGCAAGAAGAACAAACCTATCCATTCTGAAGGAAATCAGCCCTGAGTGCTCACTGGAAGGACAGATCCTGAAGCTGAGGCTCCAAGACTTTGGCCACCTCATGAGAAGAGAAGACTCCCTGGAAAAGACCCTGATGTTGGGAAAGCACAAGGAGAAGGGGACGACAGAGGACGAGATGGTTGGATAGTGTTCTCGAAGCTACCAGCATGAGTTTGACCAAACTGCAGGAGGCAGTGGAAGACAGAAGTGCCTGGCGTGCTCTGGTCCATGGGGTCACGAAGAGTCGGACACGACTAAACAACTAAACAACAACAAAAACCATTTCTGGAAGTCTGGCGGAACAGAGCGTCGCTCCCAGAAGAAAACTGTTTGCTGCCTCTCTTAGCCCTGAAAATACCGTAGTGGGAGTTTCTCACAGCAATTTCCTCACCGTTTCATGGATCACACCATGTGGCAAAAATTGGCGCATTCCAGCACGCAGTTCTTGCTGATTCGTGGGGGAACAGAAGCACACATGTGCCCAAGGGGCGGCAGCATGTCTGACGATGTCCTCTGCTGCGTCACACCAAGCCAACTGGCGTGGATGAAATTTAGCGTGACATGGCAGCATATTGATCAAAAAGCCACAGCTCTGTAAGCCATCGAGGGCTGCAGGGCGAAAGGAACATCGCAAAATGGGACAGAAGCACGAGGATCATAATCATCAAAGCTAATGCGATGGTGCAACCTAGGGATTTATCGTTCCAGAACTGAGCTGAACTCCTGGTCCTTTCATTAGAAGCTCAGAACTGGCTCATTAGTCCAATCCCTGTACTTTCTCACAGTATAATCCACAGCCCAATGTAGGTGGGGCACCCTTGCTAATCTACTGCAAACCACTCCTACTGGTAGATCTTCATCAACCTTCTGTCCACCCCTGGCTTAGGACGGTCACAGCTACAGTGCTGGGAGCACAGCAACTCCTCTGATATCATTTCAGGAATCAAATGAGCAGGCACCTCTGTAGAAGCCCTGTCATAATTAAGCCAGGATAGCTGCAGGGATTATTGAGATTGGCAAAAGGCTCGGGATGTAATCAGCTCGCTGAGTTGATTGGCCAGAGCTGTCATTTCCAATCCATCATCTCCCATCTCAGTAAATAGGTGGTGTGACAGTTTCGTTTCTTTCCCGCCACCCAGCACGATGCATTTGCTTTCAGGGATTTAGAACAGGAAGCAACTGCACCTCTCCGTCTGCAAATGGATTTGCTTATTAAATGAATTTATCCTTTTACATTGGAATGGGACGTTTCCAGGGAGGAGGAGTTTCCCTGTCCCTTAATGCTGCTGTTTGTTTGTTTGTTTGTTTGTTTGTTTGTTTGTTTGTTTGAAGTATTTATGTGCTGCTGTTGGGGTTAGCTCTCATTAAGTGGCATATGACTGGGAAGAGATCTGATTTAGACGTGAGTGGCGCTATGGGTTAAACCACAGAGCCTAGGACTTTCCGATCAGAAGGTCGGCGGTTCGAATCCCTGCAATGGGGTGAGCTCCCGTTGCTCGGTTCCTGCTCCTGCCAACCTTGCAGTTCAAAAGCACCTCAAAGTGCAAGTAGGTAAAAAGGTACCACTCCAGTGGGAAGGTAAACGGCGTTTCCGTGCGCTGTTCTGGTTCGCCAGAAGCGGCTTAGTCATGCTGGCCACATGACCCGGAAGCTGTACACCAGCTCCCTCGGCCAATAAAGCGAGATGAGCGCCGCAACCCCAGAGTCGGCCATGACTGGACCTAATGGTCAGGGGTCCCTTTACCTTTAAGGAGTAAGCACACACACAAGTCTCAGGAATCATCAGCATAAAAAGGGGTGTTAGAGAAAGGCAGACTGGAAGAAATGAGTGAGTTTAAACGGCACATTTGAAGGTCTGTATTGAATGGACCATTTGTAGTTCCATAGGAGGGAGTTCCACAAACAGAGTGCCACCACTGAAAAGACCCTGTCACTTGGGTCTGCCGTGACTGACTGTATTTGTGGGTACTCGAGGAAGGACTCTTGGTGTATACAGTGGTACCTCAGGTTAAGAACTTAATTTGTTCTGGAGGTCTGTTCTTAATCTGAAACTGTTCTTAACCTGAAGCACCACTTTAGCTAATGGGGCCTGCTGCTGCCGCTGCGCTACCGCTGCACGATTTCTGTTCTCATCCTGAAGCAAAGTTCTTAACCTGAGGTAATATTTCTGGGTTAGCGGGGTCTGTAACCTGAAGCGTCTGTAACCCGAGGTACCACTGTATTCGATTCTGACCAAACTAAGCTTCTGCTCTCGGAGGCTTAGTTTGGTCAGAACTAATAATAATAATAATAATAATAATAATAATAATAATAATAATAATTATACCCCGCCCTCCCCAGCCAAGACAGGGCAGCTAACAACCAATAATAAAAACAATTTGATTAAAATACAATTTAAAAAACAAGATTAAAATACAACATTAAAACATTAGGATGCAGCCTCTTCACAGGAGGAGAAAGGAAAAAGAAAGGTGGGGGGAGGGAATCAAACTGATTCTAAGCCAAAGGCCAGGTGGAACAACTCTGTCTTACAGGCTCTGCGGAAAGAAATCAGATCCCGCAGGGCCCTGGTCTCATGAGACAGAACGTTCCACCAGGCCGGAGCCAGTGTTGAAAAGGCCCTGGCTCTGGTTGAAGCTAATCGGACTTCCTTAGGGCCCGGGACCTCTAGGGTGTTGCTATTTATGGACCTTAAGGTCCTCCGTGAACTGAGTATATACTTCCAGAGTTAACACTAAATACTTTACTTCTGGTAAATGAGCCACCATAGCGACTAGTGGGCCGTGAAACTGTGTGTTACAGGCATTTTAGACTCGTCTACCCAGGTACTATCTGCAACTAAAGGGGCACATTGGTTGCCAGATGTGAATTCTTTTCAGCTCTCCTACCCAGTACGTTTCCGAGCACAATTCAAAGTGTTGGTGCTGACCTTTAAAGCCCTAAACGGCTTCGGTCCAGTATATCTGAAGGAGCGTCTCCACCCCCATCGTTCTACCTGGACACTGAGGTCCAGCACTTGAGGGCCTTCTGGCGGTTCCCTCACTGCAAGAAGTCAAGTTACAAGGAACCAGGCAGAGGGCCTTCTCGGTAGTGGCACCCACCCTGTGGAACGCCCTCCCACCAGATGTCAAAGAGAACAACTACCAGACTTTTAGAAGACATCTGAAGGTAGCCCTGTTTAGGGAAGTTTTTAATGTCTGATGTATTACAATATTTTAATATTTTTTTGGAAACCGCCTAGATGGGTGGGGTATAAATAAATTATTATTATTATTATTATTATTATTATTATTACCCCACTCTCCTTCCCAGAGTCAAGGTATGTAGTACTCAAACCTAGCCAAGGTATTTTTAACATCCCACAAGCACCTCTCCCTCTCCCTGGCAGTTAAAATACAATAGTAGCATCTTAAATAATCAACGACTTGCTGTCTTTTCAGCTGCCTCTGGTGGCCTCCTCACTCTACCTAATGGTTGGGCCGGCTGTGGGTCCCTCCAGTGAGCTGTACCCCTTAAACATCCCAAAAGCCTGTTCTTTCATCTCTGACTTCCTAATTTGCTTGTTACAATTTTTTTTTGTCATCCTGTTTCAGCGCGGAATGATTCTGATTACCCTCAGAAAATATTCTCTAATTAATTTGATAAATTCCTGCAAGTTCCGCATGACAGACCTCCCGCCCCTTTCCAAACAACAGCTTGGCCCCGTGAAATCTGTTCCTGCCGCGCTTTGCAAGCACATTAAAACGTTTCAGATGCTTCCCCTTTGAAGAATTTTAATGGGCTGAGTGAACAGAACCCTTTGGAGAAATCAAAGGGACAGAAATAATCAACGCGGCTATTTTCACATGGAAGAGAGGAAGCGAAAGAAAAGACTCAAACCTGCTCATTTAACAACTGTGGATAAATGCAACATCAAACCAGGGTGTAAATAAATCTAGGTAATTAATTCTTTTTTAAAAAAAATCCCAGTGTTTTATTCTTCCCTTCAAAAACAGGAGCTGAGAAAACTTTCTGCATTTTCTTGGGAGATAAAACAGATTCCCACTCAAGTCCTCTTGAGCAACGAGAAGCACATTTATCGCTAGCTATGATGTTGCAGTTATTAACTAACTGGTACCTGGGCTGGTTCAAAACATTTTGCCGCCTGAGGCCAAGGACTTAGATGGCGTCTCCTGCCTGCTCAGAAGCCCGCTGGAATAAAAGGTGCCTCTTATTTCAATAGCTGTGAAGAGATACTGTCTTCCACCACATCGGAAGCCAACTGGACAGGAGATTAACTCTTATTTCAACACTCATGATCAGGTAAGTCGTCTTCTGTAGCAGCAAAGCTAGTTTAGGATGGCCAGGACATATAGTGTAGTGTACACCACTCTGTCCCCCAACAGTAGGACTGGTCTGGGGGTGGAGGGTGCTTAGGAGGAGCAGTCAGACGACTGGCACTGCTTCACCCCCAACCCAATATCTGCCACCTTGGTCTCATGGTAGGGCCAGCCTCACCTCGTTTGCCTAGCTCTGAATGCTCAGCTCTATTGCACGTCAAATGCCATTTCCCCCAATACATGGGGCTACCTTTGAAGGTGACCCGGAAACTGCAATTAATCCAGAATGCGGCAGCTAGACTGGTGACTGGGAGCGGCCGCCAGGACCACATAACACCGGTCCTGAGAGATCTGCATTGACTCCCAGTATGTTTCCAAGCACAATTCAAAGTGTTGGTGCTGACCTTTAAAGCCCTAAACAGCCTCGGTCCTGTATACCTGAAGGAGCGTCTCCACCGCTATCGTTCTGCCTGGACACGGAGATCCAGCACCGAGGGCCTTCTGGCGCTTCCCTCATTGCGAGAAGTAAGGGAACCAGGCAGAGGCCCTTCTCAGTGGTGGCACCCGCCCTGTGGAACACCCTACCTTCAGATGTGAAGGAAATAAGCGGCTATCCTATCTTTAAAAGACATCTGAAGGCAGCCCTGTTTAGGGAAGTTTTTAATATTTAATGCTGTATTGTTTTTAACACTAGATTGGGAGCTGCCCAGAGTGGCTGGGGAAACTCAGCTAGATGGGCAGGGTATAAATAATAAATTATTATTATAAATTATTATTATTATTATTATAGTCCTTGGTTGGTTTGGAATGTTAAAATGAAATTCTGCGCCTGCACTGTCAAGTGTTTTGCAAACCAGAGACCCCAACCAGTTGCTCTGTAGAGAGGGCTGCCCCTGATTCAGCACATCTCTGTCTGATCTATGCACCATGCTCTTCTCTGCTTTGAACCGGTCCTTGTCCTGAGCCAAAAACCTGTGGCAGCATTCTACTTTGTTGCAGGCAAAATCCAGAAATCAGTCGCAAAAGGGCAGGGCCTGCCCAAGGCATTTTGAAGCCTGAATCGGACAAGAACTCACTGTTCTGAGATGGTGTAGAAGCTGACCAGGCTGGTGCAATGGGGCGAAATGAAGAACAATTATGGGAGGAAGAGGTGAAAATGGCCTTTCTCTCTGCGAGGCTTCCCTGGCCTTCAGAGCAGCTACTTGGGGCTCTTAATTGGTAAAACAAAACCTAGGGTTGATCCAAATTGCAGCTGTCCCATGCAAAATCCAGCGTGCGTGGGGAGTTTGTGCATCAGCCCCACAAGTACCATTCAGGAGCAACCCCAAGTCACTGACTCAGCGAAGAAGTACCGAGCAATATGATCAAATTAAACAAAATTAATAAAGGAAGCTGGCAACCCGCCCGCATTTTGTACGAAGCTAATGGACTCCTTTTGAACCCTGTTTGCTGCGGATTCAACTACAAGCATCACATGAGCGGTACAGACAAAAATCAATGTGGCCAATAATTATGTAAGCTTCATATTTCCATGGGAGAAGTATAGTGGGAGACCAAGGCCATAGGTTAGGACATGGAACTGGCACAGGAGTGTGCAAGCATCTTCCCCAAAGGATTGCCTGGAATGAATGGGCTTTCAGAGCGCCAGTTTCGAGACAAAGTAGGAAGGGCTCAACTCATTCTCTCGCTAAGAACTTAACACAGCCACCCTGTAGATTTATACTTCTTTTTTTAAAAAAATATGTGTGGATCTTTGCAAAAATCATCACTCCCGGAGGTTGTAAGTTGCCCATGACTCACTTCCATAAAGATAGTTCATACTGGGGCTAACTGTACCGATGCTATGAGCTACACAGGATTAAACCCCAGAAAAAAAATCAGAGTGGCAACTGTCATTACACTATTTACTCTGAATGTTTAGGGCATAGTGTTCAACTGATGTCAAGAGCTGCTTCTGCTGCTATTTTCTTGGAACTGTATACCGTATTTTTCGCTCCATAAGATGCACCTAGTTTTCAGAGGAGGAAAACAAGAAAAAAAATATTCTGAACAAAACAGTGGATATATGATTTTTGTGGTTCATGCTATGGCCACAGACATGATATGTGATTTGACAGTGAATTTGGGGTAGCCCAATACAAAAATCCTGAAGATCCTTGTGGAGCCGTGCTTTGTAACCATGTTTTTGCACCATTGCAGCCCCATGAAACAGTGGATGTGTGATTTTTTTGTGTGCAGGCTGTAGCCATGGACATGCTATGGGATCTGATGGTGAATTTGGGGTGACCCAATGCAAAAATCCTGAGGATCCATGGGCTTTTACCTCCCCCCTCCCAGGCAGCCTCCTTTATCGTTATCTCCCTCCTTATCTCCCTCCAATCGCTTGCCAATCAGCTGCTCAGCGGCTTTGTTTTAACACCCCCTTCCCTCTTTCTAAAAAACACAATCTGCTTTTCACCCCTGGGCAATTCAGCTCCAAGGATCACACATTCGCTCCATAACACACAGAGACATTTCCCCTTACATTTTAGGAGGAAAAGAGTGCATCTTATGGAGCGAATAATACGGTAGTTTGTTTAAACTAGTGGAAATTCTAGACCACAGCAAGGTGGTGTAAACAAAAACTGCATAGACATAGACATTTTAAATTGCCCGCCCTGGAGTCCAATACCACCCCCAGAAACCATCATACGTACATCACAGTAAAGGCGGTCTACAACAGAAATCTGAGTGCGCTGTTTTTACCCTGTCTGCCAGGTTACCTGATTGGATTACTTGGGCATTCTGGCCACTCTTTTGTTATGATAACTGCTCAATCCCTGAATCCAGGTCACAGGCTCACCCTATTCATATCTTAAATGTGCCCTTGAGACAGGATTTGTGAGCAAAGAGACGATGGGGAGGCTCCCCATTTCCTTCAACCTTGCAGAGAAATATTTGAGGTCAATTTGGAAGTGATAAATGGTTTCAGGACTTTTTCTGTGGGTCTCAGACATGTGGTCTGTACATTTATGTATGTGCTTGCTAGGTACATTTATGAACATTTACTTTAAATATATAAGACCTTAAAATTCTTATAACAAAGGGTATTTTTTTATTACAAAAAAATCCATACCCCACCCCCACCCCTCCTGTGCAAATACAACAAAAGAGAAACCCAAGGAAGCCGTTTACTTTTCCTTCCAAGAAACAGAATTCCCCAGAGAGTATTTACATTGCTATAAAGAAGAGAACGGTTATAGCTAGTAAATTGGCTTTCCTGTATTTGTTTTGGAACATAAACAGCATTCAAAGGAAACACTTGTGAAATGAAGGGAAAGGTGTCACACGTGGTGAGCTCTATTTAAGTTGAAGGAGAGTCTCAAATATCCTAAAAGCGAGAGGCTTTCTGTGGAAAGTACGAGGAGAACAAAAGATTTTTTTAGTAGCACTGAATAGTTTTCTCAAAACTATTCAGCGAAAAATTCTGTGTCGGTTAAGAAACCTAAATTACTTACCGTATTTTTTGCACCATAACACTCACTTTTTTCCTCCTAAAAAGTAAGGGGAAATGTCTGTGCGTGTTATGGAGGGAATGCCTACGGGTGGCATGCCTACGGATTTTCCTCCTCTAAAAACTACGTGCGTGTTAAGGTCGGGTGCGTGTTATAGAGCGAAAAATACGGCAATTGTTTCATGATTAAAAGCGTTCAGTTCAGTTGACTAAAACGGCAACCCTGATTAAGTGGGAAACACATTTTTTTAAAAAATGTTAATTGTTTTTAATAAGTACCTATGCAAATGGCGCGGGTGTCTTGCCCCAGCCTTGTTCGGAGGTTAAGGAAGAACATTATTGGTCCCTTCCAGACTGATAGTGGGTTTTCCCCTGTTTTTGTGGGTGTGTTCTGCAATTGGTAATTGATGTGGCAATAGTGTATTAAGGTAAAGGGACCCCTGACCATTAGGTCCAGTCATGGCCGAATCTGGGGTTGCGGCGCTCATCTCGCTTTATTGGCTGAGGGAGCCGGCGTACAGCTTCTGGGTCATGTGGCCAGCATGACAAAGCCGCTTCTGGCGAACCAGAGCAGCGCACGGAAATGCCATTTATCTTCCCGCAGGAGTGGTACCTATTTATCTACAGTGGTGCCCCGCAAGACGAATGCTCGCAAGACGAAAAACTCGCTAGACGAAAGAGTTTTCCGTTTTTTGAGTCGTTCCGCAAGACAAATTTCCCTATGGGCTTGCTTCGCAAGACGAAACGTCTTGCGAGTTCTTGCGAGTTTGTTTCCTTTTTCTTAAAGCCGCTAAGCCGCTAATAGCCATGCTTCGCAAGACGAAAAAACCGCAAGACGAAGAGACTCGCGGAACGGATTAATTTCGTCTTGCGAGGCACCACTGTACTTGCACTTTGACGTGCTTTCGAACTGCTAGGTTGGCAGGAGCTGGGACTGAGCAGCAGGAGCTCACCCCGTTGTGGGGATTCGAACCGCCAACCGTCTGATCGGCAAGTCCTAGGCTCTGTGGTTTAGACCACAGCGCCACCCGTGACCCATTAGTGCATTAGTAGTGTATTTATTAATTCTTATTAAGCGGTGGACCTTCCACATTATGAGTGGGTCTGCAATGCTTCCCCAGTGCTATTGCATTATTGCAGAAATGGGAGTCTCCCAAGTTCATTAAATCCATCACTACTTTAGTGACAAAACGATATAATTACACTATTCTGCACATTTCCTTCTCATGCAGGAGGGAACACCTCATGTAAGATGGCACTTGCTAAAACACATACAGGTCCTGCGAGTGGAATTGCCATGGCCTGGCTGGGCACAGAAGAAGGGTGGGGGGAACCAGCTGGGAAACCCCCAAGGGAAGAAGGCTCAGAGCCCAGGCAGTGGTGGTATGCTGGGGCCAGGGGTAACCCATGAAACGCGGTCCAGGACTGGTCCAGAATCCGGAGGTTCCGCTGGGAGTCAGTCCGAAAGGGCCAAGGCAGGACACGAGGCAGGAATCCAGGCAAGGACAGGTACAGGATCTCTGGCAGGTTCTAGCATACAGACGGGGTCTGACAGCCTTTTATCTTTGTCGGGGTAGCGGCCGGTCCTGATCCCCCTGCGACTCACCTCCCTGTTTTGCCCGAAGGTGAGCACTCCTCCTGCAAGTACAATGGTACCTCTGGTTAAGTACTTAATTCGTTCCGGAGGTCCGTTCTTAACCTGAAACTGTTCTTAACCTGAAGCACCACTTTAGCTAATGGGGCCTCCCACTGCTGCCGTGCCGCCGGAGCATGATTTCTGTTCTCATCCTGAAGCAAAGTTCTTAACCCGAGGTACTATTTCTGGGATAGCAGAGTCTGTAACCTGAAGCATATGTAACCCAAGGTACCACTGTACTCAGGTCTCTCCTTCTCTCAGACCTTAGTCTCTGCAGCTCGGGAGACATCGGTGGGTTACTAGACCCAGGGGCCGCCTCAGCCTCCCCTGACCCAACCGGTAGTGGAGCAGCTGTAAGTGATGGCCCAGCTGGAGGCAACGAGGTAATCCCCGCATCTGGAGCCAGGGCAGGCTCAGGCCCCTGACTCGGCCCAGCTGGTGTTTGTTGCAGGGCAACCTGTGCAGACTGGGACTCTTCCAGATCAGGCCCCAGACTTGGTTCAGGTGATGCCTGAGGCAAAGGATCCGGTGCAGACTGAGACTCCTCTGGTTCAGAGTTTGAGCCCGAGTCCCAGGTCATCACACCATCTTATCTTCAAGACCCTCATGGTCCCTAAAAAATGCAGGAATCTTTTGCCCAACGTGGGGCTTGAACGCACGACCCTGAGATTAAGAATCTCATGCTCTACTCGCCCCCACCCCCATCTTTCTGTGTTATTGGGGCAGTTTGGACACACACAGAACTTCTGCCATCACAGCGAGTTTGAATTCGTGGCTGGAGTTTTAAGTGTGCCTGCGGAGAATGTAGCAACCAGACGCCAATTACCAGCGAGGCAGGAAGCGCTTGGGCGTAAACGTCAGCTCATTTGAAAACGAACAGGGCATCGTAAAGGCCTTTGAGAAGGAGTAACGGAGAGGCTCATAATGTTTGCCTTGAAGCTGGCCTAGCCCCGAGATGCGATGCAAAAGAGGAACAGGAAAGGTTAATGGTCCTTTCAAAATGCACGCCGGAACTCCCAGCGCAGCAAAATGGCAATTAACGGGAACGTGCCAATAGCTTCCCTTGCTAAAAAGGATGCAATGGACGTCATCTTTTATTTATCCTACCCGTTTAAGGACTGTCCTGATGTTCTGGTAGGGAAGGACGTTAGGATTAGGGATGGCGTATTAAAAGGGATGCGGGTGGTGCTGTGGGGTAAACCACAGAGCCTAGGACTTGCCGATCAGAAGGTCGGTGGTTCGAATCCCAGCGACAGGGTGAGCTCCTGTTGCTCGGTCCCTGCTCCTGCCAACCTAGCAGTTCGAAAGCACGTCAAAGTGCAAGTAGATAAATAGGTACCGCTCCGGTGGGAAGGTAAACGGCGTTTCCATGTGCTGCTCTGGTTTCACCAGAAGCGGCTTAGTCATGCTGGCCACATGACCCGGAAGCTGTATGCCAGCTCCCTCGGCCAATAAAGCGAGGTGAGCATCGCAACCCCAGAGTTGGCCACGACTGGACCTAATGGTCAGGGGTCCCTTTACCTTTTTATTAAAAGGAGGGTTCAGGAAAATCCCAGGGCCGGCTCTGTATGGTGTCAAAGGGTACAGTAAAGAGGTGCATGACAAAAGCCCTGTGTGTTAAGGCTTCCCTCCATTTTTGTTCCATAGCCTCATTTCTAATCTATTTTGATGTTCGCTGCTTCATGATAGAGAAGGAAGAGGAGGCCATTCCCCACAAGCGAATAACTGCACGGCCATTTCCCGTTTGTGTCATGTAAACTCAGCTCTACTTGCTGGGAACGGATGGTCTCTTCCTGGCATCCACAGAAGCAGAGTTTTGTTTTGTTTTTCATTTGCAGGTCATTGCTGCATCCACAGCGCCAGTGTGGTGTAGTGGTTAAGAGCGGTGGACTTGTAATCTGGTGAAGTGGGTTCGCTTCCCCACTCCTCCACATACAGCTGCTGGGTGACCTTGGGCTAGTCACACTTCTCTGAAGTCTCTCGGCCTCACTCACCTCACAGAGTGTTTGTTGCGGGGGAGGAAGGGAAAGGAGATTGTTGGCCGCTGTGAGACTCCTTAAAAAGGGACCCCTGACCGTTAGGGTCCAGTCACGAACGACTCTGGGGTTGCGGTTTCTCATCTCGCTTTACTGGCTGAGGGAGCCGGTGTACAGCTTCCGGGTCATGTGGCCAGCAGGACTAATCCGCTTCTGGCGAACCAGAGCAGCGCACAGAAACGCCCTTTACCTTCCTGCCACTGTGGTACCTATTTATCTACTTGCACTTTGACGTGCTTTCGAACTGCTAGGTTGGCAGGAGCAGGGACCGAGCAACGGGAGCTCACCCCTTCGCGGGGATTCGAACTGCCGACCTTCTGACCGGCAAGCCCTAGGCTCTGTGGTTTAGACCACAGCGCCACCTGCGTATTGTAAAGTTGTTACAATGTTACAAATATTATGCCTGAATGTATCCTTTCGACTTGACAGCTCAGGGAAGATCCCTAGATTTATAAATTCGTAGAAAATCCATACTTTAACCGACACTTCTCAGCGCCACTCGCGACTCCTTAGGATAGTGATAAAGGGGGATATAAAATCTAAACTCTTCTTCTTCTTCCCTCTGCAGTCGAGTCTGGAACTTGGATTTTGTCTCTGACTGCCAGGGACCAAGAAGATCTGCATTGTCTTTAGTCGGAAGACACTTTGGGAGCAGATCTTGGTTCAAAGGCAGAGGAGAGATGGGGGATAAAACTCGCCCCCAAGGAGAATCCCCATTTTGTAGTGTCAAAGAACCCTAAAGCTGAGAGTAGCCCATGAATGGGAAACCTACAAATGTTGTTGGGACTGCAGCTCCCACTAGCCAAAGCCAGCATGGCCAATGGCCAGGGATGTGAGTTGTGGCATAACATCTCACGGAGGGTCAGAGGTTCCCCGTCTCTAACATAATTAACATGAGAAGAGCTTGCAGGATCAGGCCAATGGCCCATCTGGTCCAGCACACTCTTCTCACAGTGGCCAACCAGATGCTTGGGGTAAACCCACAAGCAGGATTCCAGCGCAAGAGCATCTCTGGTATTCAGAAGCATTGCTGCCTTCAACACTGGAGGCAGAGCATAGCTATTGTGGCTAGTAGCCATCGATAGCCCTCTCGTCCCATGAATTTGTACAATCCCTTTTTAAACGCCCATCCCAGTTGCCTCCTATGGGAGTGAGTTCCAAATTTTAACCATGTTCTGTGTGAAGATGTTGAGTGGTCCAACTTTTCTCCCTGAAACATATTCCTTTTCAGACCCAGCCAGCATAGCCAATGGTCACGGATGATGGAAACTTTACCGCAACATCTGGAGAACTACTGGTTCCCCATCTCAGTCCAGCATCTTGCCCTGAAATACGTCCCTTTATCAATCACAGAAATTTGGATTATTCTGCTTTGACTCACTGTTGGCCACGTTCAGCAGCTGCAGTCATCAGATACCATGAAAAGGAGCTGTGCTGGTGTGTCAACGAGGATTTTATGGAAGACGAAACACAAAGCAAGCATCTCATGTGTTTTTTAAAAAAGGCTTTCCCCAGAATTCTTGAGCCGCTTTGTGCTGCCAGATAAGCAGGCTGTGGTTCACAGGACTCTTTGCCTTTCCACATCAGCTGATCAGTGTTTTTTCTTCCTCCCCAACAGCATCAAAGAGTTCCTGCGAGTCACAAGAGTGGAAAACAGCCCGTTCAATCCTATGGGCCTGGGAGAGGTTTGACAAGGTTATCCAGATAAGTGGAACTTTGGATTCTCAGGAAAAAGGAAGTACAAAAAAAATAAAAACAAACCATTAGCTACTTTATAAGTCATTGTAAAAACTCGTATAAACACGACCCAGGAGCTTATTCCACCCATAGCTCTGTCTCAGGGGATGTTCTGCAGGCGATAGGAAATAATCTGAGCTCAACACTTAACTTTTCAATTAACACCCTGTAAGATCATTAACGATTGTTGCTTTAGCAGCACTTCCAGTGCACCAGGTACGGTATGTTATAGTATTCTGTTCTCGCTCTCCCTCAAACAACCTTTCCACTCCCCATTATTCACATTATTCAGTAATCTTACAAACCTATGCTTTTGAATTATGGTGCTGGAGGAGACTCTGAGAGTCCCATGGACTGCAAGAAGATCAAACCGATCCATTCTGAAGGAAATCAGCCCTGAGTGCTCACTGGAAGGACAGATTGTGAAGCTGAGGCTCCAAGACTTTGGCCACCTCATGAGAGGAGAAGACTCCCTGGAAAAGACCCTGGTGTTGGGAAAGATGGAGGGCACAAGGAGAAGGGGACGACAGAGGATGAGATGGTTGGACAGTGTTCTCGAAGCTACCAGCATGAGTTTGACCAAACTGCGGGAGGCAGTGGAAGACAGGAGTGCCTGGCGTGCTCTGGTCCATGGGGTCACGAAGAGTCGGACACGACTAAACGACAATAACAACAACGATGTTCTCATGGAGGAATCCCTGAAGAGTAACTCTGGCGTGGGCTGGAATATCATTTGAAACCACTGGTTCTGTGGTTCCCCAGACTAACCTGGTGCCTTCCAGATCTTTTGGACTACAACTCCCATCAGCCTCAGCTAGCATGGCTGTTTTAGAGTTCCATCGGCATGACCACACCATGATGCTTGCGGCATCAAAAGCTAACCCGACACTGGTCTTAAGATGCAGGTTTGCATCTCTCCACAACCTCAAAACACTAGGAACTTGTGGACACGCAATGAAGTTGGCTGCTGGGAAATTCAGGGCAGACAAAAAGGAAGGACTCCTTTACACAGTGCATAGTTGATCCGTGGAACTCGCTCCCAAAATGATGGTGACCCTATCGGATGGCAGGCTAGTTAGGGGTTTGGCCTGATCCAGCTGCTATCTTCTTAAGTGACACCCACAGTCCCCTGCATAAAGTGAGCTTGTGCCTAGAACACGTCCTTTATTCTTCTGCATTCTTCTTTGGTTCTGTGGTAGCCATGCAGGGAACCAGTGCCAGATTTATGTATAAGCTAAACAAGCTGTGGGACGTGGGTGGCGCTGTGGGTTAAATCACAGAGCCTAGGACTTGACTCAGAAGGTCGGCGGTTCGAATCCCCGCAACAGGGGCAGCTCCCGTTGCTCGGTCCCTGCTCCTGCCAACCTAGCAGTTTGAAAGCACATCAAAGTGCAAGTAGATTAATAGCTACCGCCCCGGTGGGAAGGTAAACGGTGTTTCCATGCGCTGCTCTGGTTCGCCAGAAGCGGCTTAGTCATGCTGGCCACATGACCCGGAAGCTGTACGCCAGCTCCCTCGGCCAGTAAAGCGAGATGAGCGCCGCAACCCCAGAGTCAGCCACGACTGGACCTAATGGTCAGGGGTCCCCTTACCCTTTTTAAACAAGCTATAGCTTAGGGCCCCACTCTCTTGCCCCCCCAAAAAAATTTAAAGTAAAAACAACTGGGTGTACATTTGCAAAATATAAGATAAAAATAAAATAAAACCTACATACAGCAACAGTGTTTTGTGTTGTGTAGGCTCCTATGATGTGAGTCATGGACACCGCCTGCTAGCCTGCTCCCTCAAATATCATTGGTTTGCTCCTTTCTATATATAGGGTGCCTACATTCTACATGGACTGCTTGCATGACATGTGCAAATGGCTTGAGATACCTATTAGGTCCGTAAATTACCATCTAGTATATATTCAACACAAAAAACAGCTACAATTTGTTGTTGACAAAGGACAACTGGACATATAAAGGGCCCCATTACCTTGAGTAGCTTAGGGCCTCATCAAACCTAACCTAAATGTGGCCCTGCAAGGGACCCTTGTTACATGAGTTCGTGTAAAAACAGTTCATCCAAAAGGGGGAAGCATGAAAATCCCTGGCCTGGTTTATCCAAAATTGAAAGCTGGCACATGGGAAGATTCAGGAGAGACAAAAGGAAGTGCTTGCAGTTCATATCTAAACTCTGGAACTCACTTCCACAGGAGGTACAGACGCCCACCAATGTGGATGGGCTTAAAAGAAGGATTCAATAAATTCATGAAGGGTAAGGCTATGAACTTTTGGGACGCGGGTGGCGCTGTGGGTTAAACCACAGAGCCTAGGACTTGCCTATCAGAAGGTCAGCAGTTCGAATCCCCACAACAGGGTGAGCTCCCATTGCTCGGTCCCTGCTCCTGCCAACCTAGCAGTTCGAAAGCACGTCAAAGTGCAAGTAGATAAATAAATACCGCTGCAGCGGGAAGGTAAACGGCGTTTCCGTGCGCTAATCTGGTTCGCCAGAAGTGGCTTAGTCATGCTGGCCACGTGACCCGGAAGCTGTACGCCGGCTCCCTCGGCCAGTAAAGTGAGATGAGCGCCGCAACCCCAGAGTCGGCCATGACTGGACCTAATGGTCAGGGGTCCCTTTACCTTTACCTTTAAAGAGCATAAGGAGAGCCGGAAAGGCTAATGTTTGATGCAAACGGTCTGGGAAAATTAATGAGCGGAGCCCTAGACTTGATTTCATCGGAAATGAGGGAAAATGGCAGCTGCCAGCAGCAAAAAGACCTTTGGATTGATTCGGCAGAAACATCAGCGTGTGAGGAGATGCTGCAAACTTATAGAATGGAATCACAGACATAAAATCCCCACAGAAACACATCATTGATTGTTTTGACTCGCTTGTGGGAACAACTCGGAGGCCGTCAAATAATGTTAACAACAGGAACAATTAGACAAACCATTGGAAACGACAATGAAAAGCAATAGAGATATGAGATGATCAGAACCCTCTGAACTTGAAGCATGGGAAGTACCATTAAAATTTTTATAATTTGGCAGAATATTTGGATTATTTGATATGTATAATTTGGAATATTTAATGTGATTGCATTGGATTGTTAAAATGGAAAACTTATTAAAATGTGGTGCCCAGAACTGGACACAGTATTCCAGTTGTGGTCTCACCAAGGGACCCCTGACCATTAGGTCCAGTCGTGGCCGACTCTGGGGTTGCGGCGCTCATCTCGCCTTATTGGCCGAGGGAGCCGGTGTACAGCTTCCGGGTCATGTGGCCAGCAGGACTAAGCCGCATCTGGCAAACAAGAGCAGCGCATGGAAACACCGTTTACCTTCCCGCCACTGTGGTACCTATTTATCTACTTGCACTTTGACGTGCTTTCAAACTGCTAGGTTGGCAGGAGCAGGGACTGAGCAACGGGAGCTCACCCCGTCACGGGGATTCGAACCGCCGAGCTTCTGATCGGCAAGTCCTAGGTTCTGTGGTTTAACCCACAGCGCCACCCGCGTCCCTAAGGCAGGATAGAGCAGTGTTATTACTTCCCCTGACCTGGACACTAGACGTCTGTGGATGCAGCCTAGAATACCATTAGCTTTTTTGGCTGCTGTGTCACTCTGTTGACTCATGTTCAGCATGTGGTCCTCTAAGACCTGTAGATCTAGGCAACCATTGGAGGACGTGTGTCTTTCCCATCGTTCCTAGTTAGGGATATTGCCAGGCTTAATAAGGGGAGATATTTGGGAGGTGGAAGAATAAATCAAATTAACTCACGCACCACAACCTGTGTCTCCAATCAATCATTGTAATCAAGTATTGAATTATACAAAATATATAAATTAACAGTTTTTACAGAAGGCACATTTGAGGCTTATTGAAGTCCAGGCATCCACACAATCTCCTTGACCCTTGTCACAAAGCATAGGGCGCTGCTGCTACTGACCCATGGCTGTCGTGACAACTTAGAATCTCTTTCTTGGTCAGCCCGGTTTGTCTGTGGTACTGGCCTTCCCGGATCGTCTTAATGCACTTTACATCCTTCCCGAGGGTGATGCTTTTGATGGAAGGCAGAAATTTCAGCATCGTTTTCGATACGGAGTTCGCCACCCCTGTGCCAGACAGGTTGAGCTCCTGCAAAAAGTTGAGGCTGTAGAAAACCTCCGCGTTCAAGGATTTGACGTTGGGGTTGTTGGACAAATCGAGCGCTTGGAGAGCTGGCAGGTCTTGGAAGGCGTACGGTGAAATCTCCGCCAGGTCGGGAATCCCACTGAGAGACAAGTGGATCAAATCTTTCAGCCCCTGAAATGCCCCTTTTTCAATGGCCACCACTGGGTTCCCGTCAAGGTTGAGGAACCGGAGAGGGATTCCTTGAAGGTCGGGGATCCTCTTCAACCTGTTTCCGGACAGGTTTAAGCTCTGGATGTTGGGAATGGCTTTGCCCTGGTGTCTCGAAACGCGGCTGATCAAGTTGTTGGAGAGGTCCACGTTGATGGGCTTCCCGTGACCTTTGGATGCAAAGATGTTGGTGGTGATGTCCAGGATGAAGTTGTTGCTGAGGTCGACATCCCCCAAAGGCGACCCTGAGAAGCATTCGTCCGGAAGGGCCACCAAAGAGTTGTGACTCAGATCCAAAGATTCCAGATAGCGGAGTCTGGAGAAAGTGGTGGGAAAGATCCTGGAGATCTTATTGTAGCTCAAGTCCAAACTAACCAGCGTGGTATATCCGGGGCCGGTCAACATGGACTCGTTGATGGAGTCCAGGTTGTTTGATGATAAATCCAAGTAGGTCGTGTCCAGAGGAATGGGGACAGGCACGATATGGGGCCCGATCCCACTGCAGTCCACCTTGGTTAGGCTGAAGCTGTCGAAGAGACCAAAGCTCTCCACTTCACAGTGGCACCCTGGGAAGCAAGTCTTCGAAGCGCCAACATTCAGGGAGAGCAGCAGCAGGTTGAACCAGATTAAGAAAGGCATTGCTGGAATCTGCAAAGAGGAAACACAAGCGGAACGTCAGGAGGAGTCACCAAATAGCGGCAGCGTGAAGAAGATACAATTAGCGAGATGGATAGTTCCGAGAAGAATATTCAAAAGCAGGGGTGGTCCTTACAAAATTACCCTGATTTGGAAGTTGAAAATGAAGTGATCTGGTTTCTAGATGGCGTTTGGTTTCCAGACTTTGTCCGGACTCCCACATATCCACTGCTTGCCATAATTTTCACCTGAGTGTCCAGGCAACCACCACCTGCATTTTCTGGCAAAATCTGCTTTTTGTTCCAATTGTTTAAGTAGTTTTTTATTTATTTCATGAGATCTATGCACCGCTTGATTGATTGAAAACAACCACCACCCTCAAAGATAGAATAAAAACGAGAAAAATTCACAACCCGACTTAAAACATACAAAAGTTAAAATACTAAAACCGACTAATATTACCTTCAACTTCCTATGCATCTGGGTAGGCTTGTCAAAGCAAAATAAATTTCTGGTAGGCACCGAAAAGAGTACAGTGAAAGCATGTGATTGATCTCAATAGGCAGGTAGCTCCAAAGTTAACGAGTTCCTACAAACGCGGAACGGGAATTATGTGGCGCAATAGTAGTGCCAGTTCTGTTGATCGAACTTTTTTCAACTATTATCTTTTATACGTTTTTAGCTTTCTGCATTTTATCGGGGTTGGTTTTAATTTCCGTGAGCCACCTTGAGTCCCAGTTCTAGGGGAAAGGTGGAATATTAATTTGGCGTGCGCCCTTCTTGCCAAAGTCTAGCACGCTCCTATGCGCTGGTGTCACGCACTGAGAAAATACGTGTGCTCGCGCCGTGCTACACTCCTTTATTTGAACAAGCTTTGTAAACAGGGCTGGGTGCATCTCTGCCCTGGTTCTGCTATTGTTTGGTCAGGTGCCTCTCTCCTGAGTTCATCTCAAGCTGCCATCTGGATTCAACTTCCTCCAAGTTTCGGAAACAAATCTCAGAATTGGCTTAAGTGCCGTTTGCCGTGGTTTTCCACCCCACAACCCTGAAATTAAGAGTCTCGTGCTCTTACCACGGTGATTCAGCTGCGATAGCTCAGTCAGCAAAGCACGAGACTCACTCTTAATCTCACGGTTGTGGACCAAACATTCCTGCATTGTAGGTGTTATGTACTGAAGTTCTCACCCTGGGCCAGCAGGGGGATACTGTAGATAGTTATGCAAATAAGGGATTGAAAGTGATGTTCAGTGATTGGATAGTTTTAGAAAGTTGTTACAGTAACGTTGTACTGGAGCTCTATATAAGCAGGCTGGCTGAACCCTTCAGTTCAGTTCTGTTCTGGCCTCTGAATAAAGAAGAGCTGTTTGAAGTCGTCTGATATGTTCACCCACAACTTAACAGTAGGGGGTTGGACTAGATGACCCTCGGAACCCCTTCCAAATCTACGGTTCTATGCCAAAGTTTTTGTTTCTCTGAAAGCGGCGACCATAATGGGCACATTTCCCCCGTGGGCTCCCTGATGAGAGCGGATGGATTTTTAAAGCCTACTGAACTTTGAAACATGCCATTTTTTTGCATGCTTGACAATAAAATCAGGCTCCTTTCCCTTTTTTCTTAAACAAATGGCACTCCCCGTTTCAAATAATTGAACCCAACGGGGTCAATACTTCCTAATAGCCACACGGCGCTCTGTTCTTTTCTCTGGGAGAGGTGAGGAAAGGCAGTTTATATCCCTGGCAAGCGCCATTAACAGCCATAAACTTTGGAACTGGCCTGATCGATCTCAAAAACCGAAGCAGTCGGACCCCAGTGTGAATTTACAGAGGTGGAAAAGTTTAGCGGAAGGAAAAAAGAGATCGAGGGAAGGCAGGGGGAGAGAGAGAGAGAGAAAGAGCTATTTGAAAATGACGGCAGACAATAGAGATAAATTCCACAGCCTCGGGAGGAAAGGAACGATCATTAGGGCCTTCTATTTTTAAACAGGAAAGAGAGAGAGACAGCAGCCCAGCAGTGAATAAAGCTGTAGGAAATAAATCAAACCTCGAGTGATGTTGTTTTAATAGCCTCGCTTTGCCAGCCCTTTAAAGCATCCCCCTTCTCAACCCCCCCACCCCAAAACCGTACCTGCTGTTTGTCAAGTTTTAATAGACTCCTGGGGTGTTGGGTTTCTCTCTCCCCCGCCAAAAGCACTGATTAATCTGTCCACCTGCATTTAAGTCAAGACTCCACAGCTAGTTACACACAGATTTGCTGCCGCTCTTGTTTTTCCGACACAGGTCATGTTAAAAAAGGGGGGGGGGAGAACGGACGGACGGACGCAGACGTTTAGCTGTTTTAAGCTGAAGCCTCAAGGAGAGTAGCAAGAAGCTGGTTCTCCTAACTGCTTGCCAAATATCATGCTCAACCATAAAAGCTAATAAGTGATGAGGGTGGAGAATCAGAATTGTAGAGTCGGAAGGGACCAGAGGATGATCTAGTCCATGGGTAGGCAAACTACGGCCTGGGGCCCGGATCTGGCTCAATCTCCTTCTAAATCCGGCCTGCTGACGGTCCGGGTATCAGTGTGTTTTTACATGAATAATAATAATAATAATTTTTATTTATACCCCGCCCTCCCCAGCCAAGGCGGGACTCAGGGCAGCTAACAAGCAATAATAAAAACAAGTTGAATGAATACAACTTAAAAACAAGATTAAAAGACAACATTAAAATATTGAAACATTAAAATATTAAAATGCAGCCTCATCACAGGAGGAGAAAGGAAAAAGAAAGAGGGGGAGGGAATCAAATTGGCTCCGAGCCAAAGGCCAACTCTGTCTTACAGGCCCTGTGGAAAGAAATCAGATCCTGCAGGGCCCTGGTCTCATGACACAGAGCCTTCCACCAGGCCGGGGCCAGTGTTGAAAAGGCCCTGGCTCTGGTTGAGGCCAATCTGACTTCCTTAGGGCCCGGGACCTCTAGGGTGTTGCTATTTATGGACCTTGAGGCTCTCCGTGGGGCATACCGGGAGTATGTGTCCTTTTATTAAACTGCATCTCTGGGTTATTTGTGGGTCCCGCCTGGTGTTTTTACATGAGTAGAACGTGTGCTTTTATTTAAAATGCATCTCTGGGTTATTTGTCAGGCACAGGAATTTGTTCATTCCCCCCCCCCAAGAAAATAGTCCGGCCCCCCACAAGGTCTGAGGGACAGTGGACCGGCCCCCTGCTGAAAAAGTTTGCTGACCCTTGATCTAGTCCAACCACCTGCAATGCAGGCTTTGCCCAAAGTAGCACTCGAACCCGCAACCCAGAGGTCTCATGCTCTACCAACTGAGCTATCCCAGAGGAAGAAGGATTAAAGCTCTGGAAATTGTAGCTCTGTGAGTGGGTCTAGGGGTCTCCTAACAACTCTCCGCACCCTTTTAGCAAACTACAGTTCCCAGAATTCCTTGGGGGAAGCTGTGAACGTTCTTTTTTAAAAAAATAATTTTTATTGAGATTTAAGATCACCCACCAACACCAGTAAAACATCGAATCTTATTACATATATCCTACTTTATGCTCCGTAGAGCTGTTGACTTCCGTCCTTCCCTTCCATCAGTTTTCCTATTCTGTTCTATAGTTCACAGTTTCTTTGATTAGCTATTACAACATGACATAAGATTTACTTCAATCCTGCCAAAGTTTTCAAATTTGCACAGTTCTCACTTCTATAGATCAAAAATTTGCACCATTCTTTTTGGTACTTTGTCTCCTCCTGATTGCGAATTCTGTGTGTCAATTTAGCCATCTCAGCGTATTCAACCAGCTTTATCTGCCATTCTCCTATTGTCGGCATCTCCTGTTGCTTCCACTTTTGAGCTATCAGAACTCTAGCTGCTGTTGTTGCATACAAATATAATCTTTGATCAGTCTTCTTAATATCTTCTCCCACCAAACCTAGCAAGAATTCTTCCGGCTTTTGGGAAAGCTATACTTAAACATCTTTTTTAACTCGTTATAAATCGATTCCCAGAACTCTTTTAATTTATTACATGACCACCACATATGAAAGAAGTCGCCATCCTTTTCCTTGCATTTCCAGCAAGTTTTACTACTACTTCTTTACATTTTTGCCAATTTGGTGGGAGTAAGATACCAACGATAGACCATCTTCATAACGTTCTCTTTTAAGGCAGAACAAGCGGTGAATTTTATACTCTCATTCCAGAGTTTGGCCCATACATCATAGTCCTTGGGGGAAGCTGTGAGCGTTCAAAGCGGTGAGATGCCTGGGCAGTGGTTCTCAAACTCCACACACACATATACCAGGCCACATTTGGTTCACACAGCACTGAATTTCTTATTGATAAGAAATACACTGGAAATCAAAAAGAGGCAGCCGCTAGCAGGGCTTGATTTATAACACAGATCACAGCTACTTTATAATATGATCACGGGGCATGCAGAAAGAATGAAACAAGACAGCTACATAAAAACATTCCCAAAATATAATGATAAACAAGCCTCTTACATAGGTACTACTACTACTACTAATTTATTATTGATACCCCGCCCATCTGGCTGTGTTTCCCTAGCCACTCTGGGCGGCTTCTAACAAAATATTAAAATACAATAGTCCTTCAGATATTAAAAGCTTCCCCAAACAGGGCTGCCTTCAGATGTCTTCTAAAAATCTGGTAGTTGTTGTTCTCTTTGACATCTGGTGGGAGGGTGTTCCACAGGGCGGGTGCCACCACCGAGAAGGCCCTCTGCCTGGTTCCCTGTAACCTCACTTCTCGCAGTGAGGGAGCCGCCAGAAGACCCTCGGAGCTGGACCTCAGTGTCCGGGCAGAACAATGGGGGTGGAGACGCTCCTTCAGGTAAACTGGGTCAAGGCCGCTTAGGGCTTTCAAGGTCAGCACCAACATTTCGAACTGTGCTTGGAAACACCTGCCTGCCCCCTGTCCCCCCAAAACAGTACTTGTCTTGTCAGGATCCAAGCTCCGCTCAGTGAATCTCATCCTGACCTGCCTGCTGACACCCCTGAGCTCAGTATCTGAGCCACAAATCAGGCAGTCCTGTGTTCAGAATAGATTTTCGACCCTTTCCAGGCAAACGGGCCCTAAATGAGCTCCTTCACTGTCTGATCATTATTCAGGGCGATTTACGGTTCTCCTGAGTTTGCCTGCTCTTCTTTTTTTTGGGGGGGGGGAGAGACAGGAGTGGTTTTATCCCTCCAAGAAAACAAATAGAAAGCTATGAAGACAAATAAGCCGACCAAAAGCAAACACTTGACTCAGCCGCCAAGAGAGGAAGAAAAAATTCATGCTCAGCCCTTAATTAACCCCAGATGCCTGCTTTTTAGCCCCCAAAACGGGCAGCATCCCTGCTTCCTCTTGAACGAGTCCCTGCAGCTACAAAACTTCACTTATTTAGAGAGTTTCTACCCTGCGCTTCAAAAAGGCCCCCCATTGCGGCTCGAGTAGAATCAATTCAGACCAGACGGCCCCCCCGCCTGCAGGCTTGCAATCTGAAACTCATGACACACAAGGGGAAAGGGTTAGGGAGGGAAGAGGAAAAACAAAGAAATCTCAGACAAATTCTCCACACACAAAAACAAAACCCCATCCCCAAGACGAGTCCTGAAGGTTTATATTAACTTCTGAATCACTGAATAGAACATGTTGTAGGAGTCATGGTGCCTGTATGGAAAGGTAAGTATTCATAATGTATTTGGGGGGGGGGGGGAGTGTTCAGGGGAAATTTAAAGAATACATTTTTAAAAGAATTTAAAGAATAAACACATTTTTTCAAAAGGTTGCCAGAGCAGCTTGCAGTCAATCAACTAGAACAAGACATCCCTGTCTGCAAGCTTACAAATTAAAGTTCCCTTTCTACTAGGCCTTTGGCTGATAACTTCCAATACCCTTTTAAATCCCAGAATCATATTATAGAGTTGGAACAGACCTACAGAGTTGGAATTGAACTACCTTCCGGGCCTGGGGCAAAGCCAGCATTAATACCTGCACCTGGGGAACTTGAAGATCCAGAGAAGACACCACCCCGGGAGAAATAACCAGACAGATCCAGGATGTCTCTGCAACTGTTGAGCTGGAATATTAATGGTTGCAACATTCCGGAGAAAAGGAAGAAAATATTTCATATATTAAAAAAAGAACAATTGGACATTATCTGCTTACAAGAAACACATGTGACGAGGCTCCACAGAAAAGTGCTAATAAATAAAAGATTGGGCCAGGAATTTATTTCGTCGGACAAAGTGAAGAAGAGAGGAGTGGTGATATATGCAAAAGAGAGCCTGTCACCTAAATTTCTATTTAAAGATGAACATGGAAGGATTTTGGCTATTGAGATACAATATCAAGGAGAGAAACTGCTGATATTAGGAATCTATGCACCCAATGAAGGGAAATCGGAATTTTACAAGAAGTTGCAGGGGACAATGCTGGATCATCTGGATTACAACAACATCATAATGATGGGAGACATGAACGGGGTCGTATCAACTAACATGGACAAGTCGCAAAGTCAAAATGTCACAAAAGATGGCAGACTACCTAAAACCTTTTTGAAATGACTGACAATATGGACTTGATTGACATTTGGAGAACAAAGAACCCACTAGGTAGAGAAGGAACATTCTTTTCTGAAGCCCAACTGACCTGGACAAGAATCGACCAAATATGGATTTCTAGAGGCCTGGCACCCAGGGTTAGAAAAGTGGAAATCTGCCCAAAGACCTGCTCTGACCACAACGCAGTAAAGATGGATATGACACTACTACCAACTGGATCCTTTAGATGGAAGATGAATGACAATTTGTTTAGAGATCAGGAAATTACCAAGAAGGCCCAAAAAGTTTTGAAAGACTATTTCGAGATAAACATGAATAATTCGGTGGAAAAAAGAATCGTCTGGGACGCAAGCAAAGCTGTCATGAGGGGATTCTTGATACAACAGAATGTAGTAAGGAAAAAAAACACAAAATGAGAAAAAAAGACAAGATTTTGGATAAAATAAAAGAATTAGAGAAGAAATTAAGAGTGAATCCAAAGTCACAGCCAACTCTGAGAGAAATTAAACTGTATCAAACACAATATTCTAAATTGATAAATCAGGAAATTGAATGGAAGATTAAATTAATGAAACAAAAAACGTTTGAGTCGGCGAATAAATGTGGAAAACTGCTATCTTGGCAGTTGAAGAGAAGACAAAGATTAAATACGGTTACAAATTTAGAGGTCGATGGAAGAAACATTCAGAATCCAGTGGACATTAGAAAGTGTTTCCAGAGATATTTTAAAAATTATATACCCAAGGGCCGCAAGACGAAGTCGAGATTAAACAATTTTTGCCAAAAATGGATTATCTAAACTGTCACAAGAAAATAGGACAACCCTGAACTCTAAAATAACACGACAGGAGATTGAACAAGCTATTCAGAACATGCAACTTGGCAAATCTCCAGGGCCAGACGGGCTGACCTCCAAGTATTATAAGACACTAAAAGACTATTTGATACAACCCTTGATGGAGGTTAGCAATGAAATTATGGAGGGGAAGAGGGCACCGGATTCGTGGAAGGAAGCGTTTATCACATTGATACCAAAGTCAGAAGCTGAAAAGACACAACTGAAGAACTACCGTCCCATCTCCCTTTTAAATGTGGATTACAAAATATTTGCAGATATTCTGGCAAGTAGATTTAAAAAAGTTTTAAATGAAGTAATCCATAAGGACCAGGCCGGTTTTCTCCCAGGCAGACATCTGTTTGCTAACACAAGGAACATTATTGATATTTTGGAACTTCTCCAAACTGACATAAATACAAAAGCAGTTTTAATTTTTATAGATGCGGAGAAGGCCTTTGATAATATTTCTTGGAAATTTATGATGGGAAACTTAAAAGAGATGGGAGTGGGACGGGGTTTTGAGAATGGGATTGAGGCGATATATTCAGAACAGAAAGCTAAACTGATAGTTAATAATGTGGTTACAGAAGAGTTCAAAATTGAAAAAGGGACACGACAAGGTTGCCCTATCTCCCCTTTGTTATTTATTTCGGTTCTGGAAGTGCTATTGAACATGATTAGAGGGGACCAGTTGGTGGAAGGAATTCAGGTTGGTCAGAAACAATATAAACTAAAAGCTTTTGCAGATGACCTGGTTTTGACCTTGCAGAAGCCAGAGCCTAGTACGAAAAGAGTATTACAATTGATTAATGATTTTGGTCGGGTGGCGGGATTTAAATTAAATAAACAGAAAACCAAGGTTTTGGGAAAAAATTTGACTGAGACAGAGTCAGAACGGTTTCAGAATGAGACGGAACTTAATGTGGTTAAAAATGTAAAATACCTAGGGGTAAACATAACAGCAAAAAATCTAAGTCTATTTAAGGATAACTATGAAAAATGTTGGACAGAAATTAAGAGAGACTTAGACAGTTGGTCAAAATTGAAACTTTCTTTGTTAGGCCGAATTGCTGCGATTAAGATGAATGTATTGCCAAGAATGTTGTTTTTATTTCAAACACTTCAGGTTTTGGACAAAATGGAGTGCTTTCAGAAGTGGCAGAGAGACATTTCGAAGTTTGTCTGGCAGGGCAAAAGCCCAGAATTAAGTTTAAGATACTAACTGATGCAAAACAAAGAGGGGCTTTGCCCTGCCGGACTTAAAGTTGTATTACGAAGCCGCAGCGTTCTGCTGGCTAAAAGATTGGCTACTTCTTGAAGACACTGATGTGTTAGATTTGGAAGGGTTTAACAATGTTTTTGGATGGCATGCATATTTATGGTATGACAAAGTTAAAGCAAATAAGGCCTTTAAGAACCATATTGTTAGAAAATCACTGTTTAATGTCTGGACAAAATATAAAGACTTGCTGGAAAATAAAACACCAAGGTGGCTTTCACCTTTGGAAGCTAAGGCCCGAAAAAGACCCAATATGGAGGCCAAATGGCCAAAATATTGGGAAATACTAGAAAAAGACGGAGATAATTGGAAACTGCAGAGTTTGGAGAAAATGAAAGACAAAGTGCGAGATTGGTTACATTATGCTCAGATTAAAGAAGTTTTTAAAAATGATAAGAAACTAGGGTTCCAGGTGGAGAAATCGAAATTAGAAACAGAATTGTTAGAACCAAAGACTAAGATACTTTCAAGGATGTATAACTTGCTGTTGGAATGGAATACACAAGATGAAACGGTTAAATCGGCTATGATAAGGTGGGCGCAGGACATTGGGCATAATATTATGTTTGAGGACTGGGAAAGGCTGTGGAGTAATGGATTGAAATTTACTGCATGTAATGCTTTGAAAGAAAATGTAATGAAAATGATTTATAGATGGTATATGACCCCAGTCAAACTTGCAAAAATTTACCACCTGTCTGATAACAAGTGCTGGAAATGTAAAGAGTGTGAAGGAACGTTCTTTCACCTCTGGTGGACCTGCCCTAAAGTGAAGGCGTTCTGGGAAATGATTTATAATGAATTGAAAAAGGTATTTAAATATACTTTCACTAAGAAACCAGAGGCTTTCCTTTTGGGTATTGTCGGCCAAGGGGTGGCAAAGAAGGACCAAACATTTTTTATGTATGCAACAACAGCAGCAAGGATACTACTCGCAAAACATTGGAAAACTCAAGATTTACCCACACTGGAAGAATGGCAGATGCAACTGATAGACTATATGCAACTGGCTGAAATGACTGGCAGAATCCGTGACCTGGGAGAAGAGAGAATCGAGGAGGATTGGAAGAAATTTAAGAACTACCTACAAAAACATTGTGATTTGACTGAATGCTGAATAAGATGCTTGACTAAATAACTGACCACCACTTAACTTAGAAGTTTTTAAGAAAATAAGAAAAACTGTGAAAGTTTAACTCTTTATGAGAACTATAAGATTATGAAATATCGAAGAGATATAAGAATTTAAATAAGATGATAAATTGCTGACAAAATGTTATAATGATGAAGGTGGGAGCGGGAGATGTGAGGAAGTCCAAAGAAAATGTGAAATTATGTTAAGACGAATGTTATATTGTTTATTACATTTATTCCTATTGTAAAATCTAATAAATTGCTTTAAAAAAAAAAAAAAAAAAGGAACAGACCATAGGCGTCATCTCGTCCAATCCCCCACGATGCAGGATTTTTTGTGCCCAACCCATGATGTTTTTGTGGGAGAGGAGAATTATTATGTGTTTTCGTTCCTATCTTTATCGTGTATTTTGTGTGTTTTTAAAATATATATATATTGTATTTTTATATTGTGAACCGCCCTGAGAGCTATGGCTGAAGGGCAGCATACAATTAAATAATAATTAAAATAAACCTGGCATGCAAGGGAAAAGGGACAAGGATGGTCGAGGAAGTGTCTGATGGAGCTGGGGTTTTGGCTAAGCAGCAGGAGCGAGCCCTGCTTCCCCAATCTCTCCCACTGAGGCAGTGTGGTGCAATGGTTGCTCCCAGGTGGTGGGAGAGAAGAGAGGACGTCTGAGGCTCTTCCTGCTTCCCCTGTCCCCCTGCCTGGCATAAGGTAAAGGTAAAGGGATCCCTGACCATTAGGTTCAGTCGTGATCGACTCTGGGGTTGCGGCGCTCATCTCGCTTTATTGGCCAAGGGAGCCAGGGTACAGCTTCTGGGTCATGTGGCCAGCAGGACTAAGCCGCTTCTGGCGAAACAGAGCAGCGCATGGAAACGCCGTTTACCTTCCCGCTGGAGTGGTACCTATTTATCTACTTGCACTTTGAGGTGCTTTCGAACTGCTAGGTTGGCAGGAGCAGGGACCGAGCAACGGGAGCTCACCTCGTCGCAGGGATTCAAACTGCCGACCTTCTGATCCACAAGTCCTAGGCTCTGTGGTTTAGCCCACAGTGCCACCAGTGTCCTTGTCCTGCCTGGCATACACCCCCCGAAAAAAATCCTGCCCACCTATATTTTTTAAGCCTGTCCTTGGAGTAAGGATAATACTCCGATGCTCCTTGGCTTACGGCTTCCCTCTTAGCAGAGCCATAACTCAACATCTGCGGCCGAACGGAGGGGGATTTACTGCAAGAGGATCTCTGGAGAGGAAAGAGACCTGTCGCCCCCACCTGTCTTCCCAAACTCCCCCCTCCCCATCAAGGGCCAGGATATCTCTTCAGATAATAATACTACTACTAATAATTTATTATTTATACCCCACCCATCTGGCTTGGTTTCCCCAGCCACTCTGGACGGCTTTGAACAGAATACAGTGGTACCTCGGGTTAAGAACTTAATTCGTTCCGGAGGTCTGTTCTTAACCTGAAACTGTTCTTAACCTGAGGTACCACTTTAGCTAACGGGGCCTCCCGCTGCTGCCATCTGCGCAATTTCTGTTCTCATCCTGAAGCAAACTTCTTAACCCGAGGTACTATTTCTGGGTTAGCGGAGTCCGTAACCTGAAGTGTGTGTAACCTGAAGCGTCTGTAACCCGCAGTACCGCTGTATTAAAATACAATAATCTATTCAACATTAAAAGCTTCCCTAAAGAGGGCTGCCTTCAGATGTTTTCTAAAAGTCTGGTACAGTGGTACCTGGGGTTACAGACGCTTCAGGTTACAGACTCCGCTAACCCAGAAATAGTACCTCGGGTTAAGAACTTTGCTTCAGGATGAGAACAGAAATCCCATTCTGTTAGCCCCATTAGCTAAAGTTGTACCTCAGGTTAAGAGCAGTTTCAAATTACAAATTACAAATTACGTTCTTAACCCAAGGTACCACTGTAGTTGTTTTTCTCTTTGACATCTGGTGGGAGGGCGTTCCACAGGGCGGGCGCCACCACTGAGAAGGCCCTTTGCCTGGTTCCTGTAACTTGGCTTCTCGCAGCGAGGGAGCAGCCAGAAGGCCCTCGGCACTGGACCTCAGTGCCTCCGATTTATTTCCACCACCTCCAGATTTATATAACCTTTTGGAGGGCACCGTGTTGGCAACCTAGCCCTCTTGGTTCCGGCTCCACCGACCGAAAAATCAGTTATAAAGGGGCTTTTGGACATATCTTGCAAAAGCTAGCACATGGTTTTCATCTTTTTCCCCCACTGTGGAAGACACAAAAACATTCCCTCCTCCATCCGACAGTGACCCAGAACGGGAAACAGGCATTGCCTGTGCTTGTGTCTGATTGGCCCTCCCACGCACCCAAAAAATCATTTTTCCTAAGTGAACCTCGCCCCACCGCACTGTTGTAAACAAAAATCTGCCCTTTTCCCTTATGGGGTATCCAAGAGCCCATATAGAGTCCTTATGTAGGTTCCCTATCGGTAGGAGAGAATAACAGAGGCCAACCAGAGAATATTGAGAAGCAAAGCAGCTAGTATTCTTGATCTTTATTGATCTGTTGCAACAGGGTGCTCCCCTCACACGCAGGAGAGAGGAGGAACCCAGAAAAATGGCATGCAAGGCCTTATAAAGACTTTTGAAATTCCCATCCTGTAGATCAAGACCACCCCAAGAAACATACATACATCATAGAAGGGGTGTAACCTAAGACCACCCCTCAGATACATCACACCTACATCACAGATAAGGCGGTCTAAACGGGAAATTTGAATGTTGTTTTTCTCCTGTCATTGTTTATCTCCTGTCTGGCAGGTTACTTGATTGGATTGCCTGGGGAGCCTGGCCAGTCCTTTGGAATGATAAATACTTAGTTCCTGGGCCAGTTCACAGGCTCACACCCCATTCATATCTTAAATGTGCCCTTAAGACGGGATTTGTGAGGAAAGAGACAATGAGGAGGGCTCCCACTTTGACTTGCAGAGAAAACATTTGGTCAGTTTGGGACAGTTTGGGAATCAAAATGGTTCCAGGTCGGTCTTCCTGTACTGATCTATGTACGTGCTTGGTTGGTATGCTTAGGAACATTACCATATATCTAAGACCTCAAAATTCCTATCACAGTACGCAGTGCCTTTTATTTAAACTCCCCAAATGAAAAGGAAAAAAAAAAGCAGATTGCAAGTTTTGGCTCTGAGCGCATTGAGAGGAACTCAGTGGCAGGAAAAGGGGACACACACACAAACACACACACACACACACACACAAAACCCAGCTTCTCTCTAACACACTTGCAGGTCTAGAGAAAGCACTTAGGTCCCAGCAGGGTGAAAATGTCCCGAAGACAGCGGAAAGGGATTAAACCTGCAGGCCTGGCACCTCTTCATGACAGGTTTCGTCTTATAAACAGGAGGTAAAGAACAAAAAAAGACCACCGACTGCTTGAGACTTCAGTTTGTTAGGAGCTGAAATTCAGGTCTGTTGGGAGCTGAAATTCAGGTTTTTTAGGAGCCGAAATATTTTTACAAGAACCTTAAAATGGAGAGTAGGCTCTCAGGTCCAAACAATATTATTAGTACTATTATTAACAGCATTCGTATCCCACCTCTCCCACGTGGCGTACACTATTCTCCCCATTTTATGCTCACAACCACCCTGTGAGGCTAAGAGATAAAGTGATTGGTCCAGGGTCACGCAGTGAACTTCATGGCCATGTGGGATTCGAACCCTGATCTCCCAAGCTCCTATTCCAACACTCTAACCACTGCACCACACTGACTCTCGATATCCCACCAGGCGGGTGGGGCTGTTGGTCTCCGCGGGAAAACCTTGCCCGGCTTTTGCACGCATCGCCACAAAAATGGCAAAACTAGCACAAAAACACCAATGCCTGGGAGTCATTTTGGACTCACAGCTGTCCATGGAGGTGCAGGTTAATTCTGTGTCCAGGGCAGCTGTCTACCAGCTCCATCTGGTACGCAGGCTGAGACCCTATCTGCCCGCAGGCTATCTCGCCAGAGTGGTGCATGCTCTGGTTATCTCCCGCTTGGACTACTGCAACGCGCTCTACGTGGGGCTACCTTTGAAGGTGACCCGGAAACTGCAATTAATCCAGAATGCGGCAGCTAGACTGGTGACTGGGAGTGGCCGTCGGGACCACATAACACCGGTTCTGAGAGATCTGCATTTGCTCCCAGTACGTTTCCGAGCACAATTCAAAGTGTTGGTGCTGACCTTTAAAGCCCTAAACGGCCTTGGCCCAGTATACCTGAAGGAGCGTCTCCACCTCCATCGTTCTGCCCGGACACTGAGGTCCAGCTCCAAGGGCCTTCTGGCAGTTCCCTCATTGCGAGAAGTGAGGTTACAGGGAACCAGACGGAGGGCCTTCTCGGTAGTGGTGACCACCCTGTGGAACACCCTCCCTTCAGATGTGAAGGAAATAAGTAGCTATCCTATTTTTAAAAGACATCTGAAGGCAGCCCACTTCAGGGAAGTTTTTAATATTTAATGCTGTATTGTTTTTAATACTTGATTGGGAGCTGCCCAGAGTGGCTGGGGAAACTCAGCCAGATGGGTGGGGTATAAATAATAAATTATTATTATTATATTATTATTATTATTACTATTATTATTATTATTATCATTATCTAGAGATCCTGCGAGTCTTTGTGAGTTCAATCCCAGGAGCCCTTGCATAGTGGTAGAAATTAGCCAGGCACATTTTGTTACTGGCATGGGTTCAAATTGTGACCACATGGAGATCTCCGGGTGCCAGGTGGATGATGGACCTCTCGATTTGCCTGGCCCCTCCAGTTTTCTGAAGCAGGTACATCTTATTCATTGCATTCCCCCCTGCCCCCGTCCTTTTCTGTTTTAATGTTTTGCAAAACACTTAAGAGATTCTGTTAGGGATTGTAGGAAAAGACCTGCCAAGGAAAGTGAAAAATATCTTCATGTATGCAACAACGGCAGCAAGAGTCTTAATAGCGCAAGGATGGAAGAACAAGGAAATCCTGACTAAAGAACTGTGGCAAGAGAAACTGATGGACTATGCAGAATTGAAAAAACTGACACATAAACTATGGGACAAGGATAACTGTGACTTCAGAGATGAATGGGAACGCTTTACAAAGTACTTAAAGAAACAACACAATGAACTGGACTCCTTGGCAGGTTTTGAATAAACAACCACAAACTTTTTATTGACAACAGCTAGTCAGACAAATTAAGGATCTATACAACTTTGCAACATGCAGAGAATAACATTTGTTGATAAACCAGAGAGAGGAGCTGAGGGAAGTCTGGGGGGGGGGGGAGGGAGGGGGTTTACTTTATGGGGAGGGGGGAAATGGGGGGGGGAATTAAGGATGATACGTTTTTTGATAAAATGTTTTGTTGAAATTCCTAATAAAAATATTTTTAAAGCAGAGATTCTTTTTTCTTTAAAATATAAAGTGGAATCAAAATGAAATTAATAAAAAATAAACCTCACCGATTTTTAAAAAGGCGCCTAGGAATTCTGTTGCGGCAACCATAACCTAGGGTTTAAGGTGCCCTTTCTAACACTGCCCTTGCGGCTCGTGGAGAGTTGGGAATGTGAGCAAAAAGGTTTGGAGGGAGCAGCTGTCCTGTTTGTGGGCTTTTTCAATGGTGCCCCCAATATACGCAATTTTGCTTAAACTCCTTGGAATGTAATGCCCAGGTAAATTAATTAAATAATAATAATAATAATAATAGTAATAATTTATTTGTACCCCGCCCATCTGGCTGGGCTTCCCCAGCTACTCTGGGTGGCTTCCAACAGAATATTAAAATACAATAATCTATTAAACATTAAAAGCTTCCCTAAACAGGGCTGCCTTCAGATGTCTTCTAAAAGCCTGGTAGTTGTTGTTCTCTTTGCCATCTGGTGGGAGGGTGTTCCACAGGGGGTTGCCACTACCGAGAAGGCCCTCTGCCTGGTTCCCTGTAACTTGGCTTCTCACAGCAAGGGAACCGCCAGAAGGCCATCGCCGCTGGGCCTCAGTGTCTGGGCAGAACGATGGGGATGGAGATGCTCCTTCGGGGTGTTGCCTGTACTCTGCTACCTGAGCTGCAGCCTTATACCGAGTTGCTCCATCCAGTTTAGGATTTTGCGGTTTGACAATCAATTCCTCTTCCCAGGGAACTCTGAGGAGGGCAGGGAGTCTCCTGACAACTCCTGGCACCTGTAACAAACTACAGTTCCCAGACTGTTCAAAGTGCTAGGTAAAGGTAAAGGACCCCTGGACGGTTAAGTCCAGTCAAAGGCGACTATGGGGTTGTGCCACTCATCTCGCTTTCAGGCCGAGGGAGCCGGCGTTTGTCCACAGACAGCTTTCCGGGTCATGTGGCCAGCAGGACTAAACCGCTTCTGGCACAACGGGACACCATGACGGAAACCAGAGCGCACGGAAACGCTATTTACCTTCCCGCCACAGCAGTACCTGTTTATCTACTTGCACTGGTGTGCTTTTGAACTGCTAGGTTGGCAGGAGCAGGGACAGAGCAACGGGAGCTCACCCCATCGCGGGGATTCGAACCGCCAACCTTCTGATCAGCAAGCCCTAGCCTCAGTGGTTTAGACCACAGCGCCACCCGCATCCTGTTCAAAATGCTACAATGCTACTTTAAGTGTACAGTGCATACGAGACTTTAAACCAGGGGTCAGCAAACTTTTTCAGCTAGGGGCCAGTCCACCGTCCCTCAGACCATGTGGTGGGCCGGACTATATTTTGAAGGGGAAAAAAATGAACGAATTCCTATGCCCCACTAATAACCCAGAGATGCATTTTAAATAAAAGCACACATTCTACTCATGTAAAAACACGCTGATTCCCGGAACATCCGCGGGCCGGAGTGAGAAGGCGATTGGGCCGCATCTGGCCCACGGACCTTAGGTTGCCTACCCCTGCTATAAACAGTAGGTTGTATGACATACCTGCCACTCCTCTAAACTCCTATCTCCCAGATTGCGCCAGGCAGGACCTTTTGCTGTCAAGTTCCAAGAAAATAAACCCTAGAAGGGGAAGGAAAATCTTAGAAAGCCGCCAGTTTGAGGCAGCCTTGCCGCCAGACAGGAGGAGGATGAACAGCTTGGGTTGAACACCACAATGCCACAAGTCCTTAGCCAAAGTGCCTCATCTCCCCACAGCCCTTGGCAGACTTGTGAACGTTATGTTGCAAGACACAAAGCAGTTGGAAGAGGCGATGGGTCTGTCAGAAGCCCTCAGCAGGCACAGAAAAGGGGAAGGGCAGCTTCAACCGCAGCCAACTTGCTATTGCACAAGCCAACGGTACTCTGACCTCAACTGGGAGAGGGATCACAGCTAAGATGTGGGTTTGAGGGGTTTTATTTGCACCCAGAAAGGGCCGGGGAATCTCCAGTTAGAAGTGGAAGGAAGGAGCAGTTCCAGCGAAGGAGGATTGGCAGATGAAATGGACAGAATACAGTGGTACTTCGGGTTACAGACGCTTCAGGTTACTGACACTTCAGGTTACAGACTCCGCTAACCCAGAAATAGTACCTCGGGTTAAGAACTTTGCTTCAGGATGAGAACAGAAATCGTGCTCCGGCAGCAGCTGGAGGCCCCATTAGCTAAAGTGGTGTTTCAGGTTAAGAACAGTTTCAGGTTAAGAACAGACCTCCAGAACGAATTAAGTACCGTATTTTTCGCACCATAGGGCGCACCGGACCATAGGGCACACCCAGTTTTTAGGGGGGGAAATCAAGAAAAAAAATATTTCCCCCCCCCCCAGCCCCAAAGAGCAGCGTACAGGCTGCACACAACCTCTCCCTGCCAGAGGGGTTGCGCCCAGCTATGGAACAAGCCAAGGCAGCGAGCGGGATGGATCCCGCTCGCTGTTTTGGCTTCCCCTTTAGCCCCGTGCAGCCTCTCCCTGCCGGAGGGGTTGCGCGCGGCTATGGCACAAGCCTGCATTCGCTCCATAGGACGCACACACATTTCCCCTCAATTTTTGGAGGGGAAAAACTGCGTCCAATAGAGCGAAAAATACGGTACGTAACCTGAGGTACCACTGTATGCCGAAATGGCTGAATTAACGAGTAGAATTTAAGACCAGGAGAAGGAAGTTTTTAAGAAAGAATGGGGGAAATTGGTGGAATATTTGAAAAATCATTGTAAAGGACTAGAAACATTAGCAGGATCAGACTACAATGGTTCCTCGGGTTAAGAACTTAATTCGTTCTGGAGGTCCGTTCTTAACCTGAAACTGTTCTTAACCTGAGGTACCACTTTAGCTAATGGGGCCTCCCGCTGCCGCCGCATGATTTCTGTTCTCATCCTAAAGCAAAGTTCTTAACTCAAAGTAATATTTCTGGGTTAGCGGAGTCTGTAACCTGAAGCGTATGTAACCTGAGGTACCACTGTAATTGGAGCGGGGGTGGCGGGGGGATAAAATAAGGTAAGATGGTGAAACAGAAAGAAAAAGGAGTATAGTGGTACCTCAGGTTAAGTACTTAATTCGTTCCGGAGGTCCGTTCTTAACCTGAAGCACCACTTCAGCTAATGGGGCCTCCTGCTGCCGCCGTGCCGTCGGGGCATGATTTCTGTTCTCATCCTGAAGCAAAGTTCTTAACCTGAAGCACTATTTCTGGGTTAGCGGAGTCTGTAACCTGAAGCGTATGTAACCCGAGGTACCACTGTACTTTGAATATGCAGCAGAAAGGGGGAAATTATAATGAGCCATGGAAGGAGGGAGAAGGGAAGTCAATAATAATGATGTGATTTAAATCATGCAATTTGTTTACTTGTTGTAAATGAATGAATTAAGAGAGAGAGAATATACACTTAACAATGAAAGAATAGGTTGCTGGATCAGGCTAGTGTCCCACCTCTGGTGGTGGAAGCAGAGCATCTCCCCTGTGGATAGTAGCCATCGATAGCCCTTATCTCCCATGAATTTGCGCAATGCCTTCCTCAAGTTTGGTCCATCTAGCTCAGCACGCTGTACTCTGGCTGGCAGCTGCCCTTCAGCGTCAGAGCCACAGAAGGTCATTCCCCATCACCTGATCCTTTGATCAGGTTGCTGGAAACCGCAGGAGGGAAGAGGGTCTGGTGTGGTGATCTGGCTGGCCATGGAGAAAACAGGATGTTGAACTAGATGGGCTCCCATTGGCCAGAACCAGCAAGGCTTTTCCTATGTGCTTAAATTAGGAATTTATCTCCCATCTTTCCTCCAAGGTGCTCTTATGTGGTTCTCCCCTCTCCATTCTCTCCTGAAAACAACCCTGTGAGGTAGGCTAGGCTGAGAGTGAGTGGTTGGCCCAAGGTTACCCAACTAAGTTCTTGGCCGAGTGGAGATTTGAACCCAGGTCTCCCAGATCACAGGAGTGGGATAGAAAGACGGCACTCCATCAACTTCTCCAGATCATTCAAGCGGCTCCTGCAGCCTCCCAGTTCCTGATAGGAGGGGCATAGCATCGCAGCAGAGACAAAATGTTCCAAGATAAAATAAGCTGGCCTCAGGGACAATCAGGAGTCTGCTTTGCAGTTTACGCACGGCTCTAACCGATTAATCAGGTTAATTAAACTGAGGAAACGTCTCTATTTTTGGGATGCGGTTTTTGTTTATTTGAAGTGCAGGCTGGGACTGCTGGGCAGGTTTAGCCCGGAGAAAAGAAAACTGATACGAGAGCCATATGGGAAGGGCTCTCCCCATGGAAGATGGAGCAAGCTTGCTTTCGGCTTCTCCAGAGGGCAGGATCCGAACCAATGGATTCAGGCGACAAGGATCCTGACTAAATATTAGGAAGAACGTTCAGAGGGGAGGACCTGTTCAACAGGGGATTTACTCCTCCCAGCAGTAAATCACAGCATGCAACAAGAGTTAAGTCTTTATTAGCAAAATTGGCAAAGGAGTGTCAGGCCGAATGAGCACAAGAATCTCATCGCAGGTGGGTCTTGCCCGAGGGATCAGTTGCTGAGACTGAAAGTCCCCTCCTTCTCACAGCCAGCTAAGTCCCCTCCCTCTCCAGGGTTCCTTCCCCAAGCAATCGGAGACTGCGCCTGCATGAAGCCAACCTTTCCTCCACCCTTTTCATGCCTCTTCTGGTTCTGGGAGACAAGCGAGGAGGGGAGCTTGTTGCAGCAGGAGAGGGAGACACCTGTGACTCTTCACCAGCCTGACCCGTCTCTTGGCCTCCTTCCTCTCCAGCCTCTGCTTCTGCCTCCGATTCTGGCCTTCTCTCTGCCACAGACTCTCCCTGCTCACTAAACCCTGTGGCCTCCGCAGCTTCCGACACCCCCAGTCTTCTCCCTCTGACCGCTCATCGTTGTCCCACCATCACTCTCCGGCCTCTGAACCTTCTTCCCTTGGGGGTCCCCCAGCTGGTTCCTCCCACCATTCTTTTGCGTTCAACCAGTGGTGTAGCATGGGGTCCAAGGGGGTGGTTGCTCCGGGCAGAAAATTGAAAGGGATGCAAAATTTCAACACCTGGTGCTGCCTCAATATAGCTGCAGGCTTCCACACAAAACGGCCTCTCCATGCAAACCAGAAAATGACCTCTCCAGACAATGGAACAACTTTTCTTATCTCTGTGACTGAGATCTCCTGGGTGACATGGATGCCATTAGGCCAGGCATGGCCAAACTTGGCTCTCCAGATGTTTTGGGACTACAACTCCCATCATCCCTAGCTAACAGGACCAGTGGGTATGGGATGATGGGAACTGTAGTCCCAAAACAGCTGGAGGGCCAAGTTTGGCCATGCCTGCATTATGTGTGTATTCCAACCATTTACCTTCCACCCACCCCTTCTGTGCAGCCATGGGCTCCGGCAACCCACGCTACACCACTGCTTCCAGCCAGCCCGCAACACTGGGCTAGAACGCCTTGAGATGTGCTCAAGCCCTGGCCTGTGGCTGTTGCACCACAGGGCATTGCTAACAACAGGCAAGCTTGCAGGGATGCTTGCTCACCGCAAGCAATCTTAACGACGAGGAACCGTTGAGAAGCCTCAACGGTTCCGAGGGCAGGGTTTCCAAACGGCCGTTTGAGATGCTGCAAGATCTACGGGTGAAATTCCTGCAGCTGCAAGGAGTCCCCATTGGGGATCTGCTGTGCCGCTTTGCAAACCAATCTGACACTGATGCCTTCAGCCCACAGACATCGTTCCAGAGCCTGTCCGTGCCCAAAGCTGAACTGCCTGCCCTGAGCACGGCTGGCTGACCACAGGCTAGGTGCCAACCTGCGGGAAAGATTCCTACAGCTACCACCTGCCAAGGCAAGGAAGTGGAACAAGCCAGCCGGTGTCTGGGCAGGATTCCAGAAGCGTTGGTCCACCGTCTCAAAAAGACAAAAGGACTATTGTGGTGCCACGAGGGGCTTGGGGGAGCTGATGAACACAAGGGAGTGTGTCTCTGTGCCGAAACATTGGAAACAACGTATGACAGGACAATTGCATGGCTGCCTTGAACATCGCCCCTTGCAAATGTTCCCCAGCACCTGCATGGGTCTTGCACAAATGAGGTTGTGATCAGTGGCATGCGGTGAATTTTTTTGTAAGGGCAGAGGCGCCAGCTTTCGAGGGTGATTGGCAGGGGCGGGGCGGGGCCAACGCTGGGACATCCTGACATCACAAGCATGAGCATCACGTCTCCCTCCCTAAGCTGGGAAGCTTCCCGGGCTTTGGGAAGAAGGCAACAGGCTTTAATACTTGAATACTCTAATTTTGAAGGGACGCGGGTGGCGCTGTGGGTTAAACCACAGAGCCTAGGACTTGCCGATCAGAAGGTCGGCGGTTCGAATCCCCGCGATGGGGTGAGCTCCCGTTGCTCGGTCCCTGCTCCTGCCAACCTCGCAGTTCGAAAGCATGTCAAAGTGCAAGTAGATAAATAGGTACCACTCCAGCAGGAAGGTAAACGGCCTTTCTGTGCACTGTTCTGGTTCGCCAGAAGCGGCTTAGTCCTGCTGGCCACATGACCCAGAAGCTGTACGCCAGCTCCCTTGGCCAATAAAGCAAGATGAGCGCCGCAACCCCAGAGTCAGCCACGACTGGACCTAATGGTCAGGGGTCCCTTTACCTTTTTACTCTAATTTACTGGGGAAATCGGCTCCCCAAGATATTGGCCAAGGAGATTCAGGAGGAATGTGGCCATTTCAAGAGCCCAGATCCAAGCTCAATCCTTGAATGAGTTATGAATTCAACACTATATCCCAATCTCCGCCAACCTGAGGCCCGGTAGATGTTTTGGACTACAACGCCCATCAGTCCTAGGTATCGCATGCTGGAGGTGTTAGAAACTCAGATATGCAAGCTAGGTGCCCGATGGCACATGAAATCTAGGTTGCAGTCGCCATAGCAGAATGTCTTTTCACCAGGGGGTTGGATTAACTCAGGGGTTTCCTCCCCAATGCTACAATTCTATGATCTCAACTACAGTCGTACCTCGGAAGTCGGACGGAATCCGTTCCGGAAGTCCGGTCGACTTCCAAAACATTCAGAAACCAAAGCGCAGCTTCCGATAGGCTGCAGGAAGTTCCTGCGGCCAATCGGAAGCCTCACCGGACGTTCGGTTTCCAAAAGAACATTCGAAAACCGGAACAGTCGCTTCTGGGTTTGCGGCGTTCAGGAGCCAAAGCATTTGACTTGCAAGGCGTTCATCAACCAAGATACAGTGGTACCTCGGGTTGCATACGCTTCAGGTTACAGACTCCACTAACCCAGAAATAGTACCTCGGGTTAAGAACTTAGCTTCAGGATGAGAACAGAAATCGTGCAGCAGTGGCTCGGCGGCAGCAGGAGGCCCCATTAGCCAAAGTGGTGCTTCAGGTTAAGTACAGTTTCAGGTTAAGAACGGACCTCCGGAACAAATTAAGTACTTAACCCGAGGTACCACTGTACAGATGTAGCTTGCTTGACTGCAACTTGCTCTTACAACAATTCACTTGTCTGGTATGCAAGGAGGAGAGACACACTCAGTGGAAATGGAAATGATATTAACTATGGACTAAGGCCGAGGGGTTTATAAACTGGGGTCAAACCTGGTGCCCAGGAATCTCTGCATTTGGACCTGCGCCAGTAGCAAAACGCGCCCAGCTAATTCCTAACACTGCATCTTGGCTGTGGCTGAGAGTGTGATCCAAAAGCTTTAGAGGACACCAGGTTGCCGGGGCGGAGGGAGGCTGCTCTACCCACTAAACCATACTGCCCAGCGTATGACTATATGCCGCCGGAGAAACAGCAACTTTTGTCTCTGCGGGACTCATTAAAGTTTATCGACAGGGAAGGGCAGACCCTGGCCTGCATTTCAAGCCATGCACACATCTATTTCCGTCCCAAACGAAGGATTATTTCAAATAGCCTGCTGAGCCAAATTCTGCCAGGCAGGCACTCTTGCAGAGCAGCTACATAGCAAAACCACAGAGATAAGACAAATATCAAGCCTTGGCTGTAAGCAGACGAAGCAGGAAGGGAACCTCACTTTGCCGAGCAGAACTTACTTCTGAGTAAGCACTTCACAAGGCTCGGATTGTCAGAGGGCCTCACTGCAGTCTGAATTTCACGTTTCCGATCTTATATCCGTGCCTACCTGCTTTGGGGTGTCTGTCTCCCTGCAAACCGCCCCCCCTGCAAAAAATATAAGTCTCGGTGCTCCAAAATCATTTTGCAGTGGTAGCTCGGGTTAAGTACATAATTCGTCCGTTCAGAGGTCCGTTCTTAACCTGAAGCACCACTTTAGCTAATGGGGCCTCCTGCTGCTGCCGCACCACCGGAGCACGATTTCTGTTCTCATCCTGAAGCAAAGTTCTTAACCCGAGGTACTATTTCTGGGTTAGCGGAGTATGTAACCTGAAGCGTATGTAACCTGAAGCATATGTAACCCGAGGTACCACTGTACTTCATCCAAAATCTGGCACAAAATAATGTGATAAAGGATCTCTTTCTCTGTTCTTTTTTCTCTTTTCTTTTTCTGTACAATCATGTTTTGTATTTTCTCATAAACGAGTTTGAACTTCATTGTTTAATATGTTAAAAAACTATATATATAAAATTGGTGAGGAATTGACTGAGTGAAAGAACCAGCCAAAAAGTGACACACGGCCGGCCTTCTCTCTGTGTGTCCTGCCTCCCTTGGCTTGAAACTCTCAAGAAACTGCAAAGACAAATGTAAAAGGAATACTTGTCTTCAAAAAAGTGTGCGCAGGCCCCTCCTTTGCACAAACGCTGCCTCCTCCTCCTTCCACAGGAGGGCCAGTGGAGGAGGAAAGCCAAAGGAACCAGCTAAGGGAGAGTGGGAAAAGTCCCACGCCTCATCAAAAAACTGCTTGTGTTCAGTAGCATGGAAGGGAGATGGAATCAGGAGTTCAGGAGGTCTGCAGATGGATGGGGTCAACGGCTCATCTACTCCAGCCTCCTGTCCTATTCCTGGCCAAGCAGATGACTGCAGCAAACCTGCAAGGAGGATTCAAGCACAAAAGCATTCTCTTCTCCTCCTGAGGTTTCCAGTAGCTGGCGTTAGGAAGCACTGTTGCCTCTCGCTGATGCACCTTTTAAATAAAACGCAGGTCACTTTTTTAATGACACGCTTTCCGAGTTCTCCAGAGGCTGGTTCGCAAATCCTCATCCAGATCAAGGGAAGTACAGTGGTACCTCGGGTTACATACACTTCAGGTTACATGCGCTTCAGGTTACAGACTCCGCTAACCCAGAAATATTACCTCAGGTTAAGAACTTTGCTTCAGGATGAGAACAGAAATTGTGCAGCGGCGGCAGCAGGAGGCCCCATTAGCTAAAGTGGTGCTTCAGGTTAAGCACAGTTTCAGGTTGAGAATGGACCTCCAGAACGAATTAAGTACGTAACCAGAGGTACCACTGTACAGTGGTACCTCCGGTTTTCAACGGGATCCATTCCGGAGGTCCGGCCATATCCCGAAGTTTTCGCAACCAGAGCACTGCTTCTGCGCATGCGCGAGCAGTGAAACACTACTGGGTTTGCCACTTATAAAAGCCATATCCATCTCCTCCAAAGATTCCATCAACGGTGTCTCCAAAAATTTTTACACATCACCTGGGAAGACAGCCAAACTAATGCCAGTGTACTGGAAGAAGCAAAGATCACCAGTGTTGAAGCAATGATTCTTCAAAATCAACTTCGTTGGACTGGTCATGTTGTGTGGATGCCTGACTATCGTCTTCCAAAACAACTGCTCTATTCCGAACTTAAAAATGGAAAGCGTAATGCTGGTGGTCAACAAAAGAGGTTCAAAGACTCTCTCAAGGCAACTGGGAAACCCTGGCCTGCAAGCGCTCCAATTGCAGAACAGCCTTTACCAAAGGTGTCATGGGCTTTGAAGATGCTCGAACTGAGGACAAAAGGGAGAAATGAGCTAAGAGGAAGGTATGCTTGGTTAAACCCTCACCGTGATCAACTCCCGCCGGAAACCTATGTCCCCACTGTGGAAGGACGTGTGGAGCCAGAATTGGCCTCCACAGCCACTTATGGACTCATTGTTAAAATTGTGTTTATGGAAGACAATCTTACTCGCCTATGAGTGATCGCCAAAGAGAAAAGACTGCCACTGTCGTGCTTTCTATCATTTTAAAGTGCTATTTGACCTTTAAATTTGGTTTTCCTTTCCTTTCCTTTTCTCCTTTGCAAGCCACTTTGATTGCAATAGCAAAAAACCGCTAACAGAAATCACCTTGTGCAACCACACTTGGAAGACGCTAAAAAGTTCAGATGGTGTCAGTTGGAAACGGCAGAGCTGGAAAAAGTTCAGAAATGGCCATCCAAAAATGATCAAGGTGTGATTCTCCCTTTTTAAGTTGGGGAAAAAGAAGGTAAGATGGGGGAACCACGACCGGGAGCGTATAAAATTATGGTGCAGAGAAAGCAGAGATTTTTCCCCCCCTTGCACATAACAATGGAACTCAGGAACATACAATAATAATAAAAATGAACGTTGGATGATTCAGGCTAGACAGAAGGAAGGAGGGCACAGACCATTGTTAATCTGCAGAATGTGCTTCACGGATAGCCACCAACTTAGGTGGTTTGAAAAGAGGATGAGACAGACAGGTGGAAGTCAAAGCCTTCCCTGCGGTGGCTGGAACAGGAGGACAGAGACACAGAGATATACGGAAAAGAACAATCTCATTGTCTGGATAGGTCTCACTTCCTGGCTCACAGTGAGAGGCTATTTTTAAATGTTCCCAGGGATGGAAAAGAGAGCTGTCTATAGGCACCAACGAGGGTTAGTTAGAAAAAGTAAAGACTTTAATGAAGCTGGAACCGGTAACGTGTTTTTTTTGTTGCGAACACAAAAATCCCTAAATGTAGCGGCAGGAAGAAGAGCTCCTTCTGCAACACAGTTATTATTTACAGTGGTACCTTGGTTCTCAAATGCCTTGGTACTCAAACAACTTAGAACCCGAACGCTGCAAACCCAGAAGTAAGTATTCCGGTTTGCGAACTTTTTTTGTAAGCTGAATATGCTCCGTTTTGAGTGCCACACTTCCGATTTGAGTGTAATGCTGAGGTCTGTCTGTTTTTGCGGCACTTTTTCATGACTGTGTGGAACCCAGTTCAGCTACTGACTGATAGGTTGTGTGACTGCAGTACACTCCTTAGATAACAAAATTCATGTCAAATTGCTGCTTTGGGGGTTGTTTTTAAAAGTCCGGAACGGATTAATCCGTTTTGAATTACTCTCTATGGGAAAGTGCGCCTTGGTTTTGGAACGCTTTTGGTTTTGGAACGGACTTCCGGAATGGATTAAGTTTGAGAACCAAGGTAACAGTGTGGTGCAATTTTTCTAAAATCCATGCCAAGGCAAATGCAGCTCCAGGCTGAAGATTGGAACAGTCACAGGAAGAGGTGACTTAACAGGACCCCTGCAGTGTAGTTCACACGGAAAACTGCAGGCCGGGCTCTGAGTGGTTTTCAAGAATGCTGCTGTGCTGTGCAGAAGCACTAGAGACTAGACCAGGCACCCCCAAATTCAGCCCTCCAGATGTTTTTGCGACTACAGTTCCCATCATCCCTGGCCACTGGTTCTGTTAGCTAGGGGTGATGGGAGTTGTAGTCCCAAAACATCTGGAGGGCTGAGTTTGGGGAGGCCTGGACTAGACTCACCCTGAGAAGGTACAATTGGGCAGTTATCCATTGCCTGTATTCCATTGCAAACTGGGCTGAGACAGAAGCCTACGACGACCCTTCAGTTCTGGGAAAGTAGAGATTGCAGCACCCTTATAGCTTACAGTAGGCCATGGCTACTTAGGTAAAGGTAAAGGGCCTCCTGACCATTAGGTCCAATCATGGCCGACTCTGGGGTTGTGGCGCTCATCTTGCTTTATTGATCGAGGGAGCCGGCGTTCAGCTTCCAGGTCATTTGGCCAGCATGACTAAGCCGCTTCTGGCGAAAAATTTTGTTGCAAGTCCCACTTGCAATAATTACCAGCCAGGCTTGCAGAACATCATCCTCTTTTGACCAAAAGTGCATCTTAGGACACATCCATCTCTCCTCTGTAGCTGCGCATTTGCAAAGGAAGTTCAGCAGGGTGGGGCAGCTGGTCTTTCAAGGACGTTCATCCATCATCGTTCATCATCTCATTGCCCCCCGGAGAATTTTCCAAGGAACATGGCTTGGAATCCTCTGCTATGAACAATCCCATAGTGAGCCAACACTACGACATTCATAGGCTAACTAATGCCAGCGTGTTGGAAGAAGCAAAGATCACCCATGTCGAAGCAATGATTTTTCGACATCAATTTCGTTCAGTTCAATGTTGTGCGGATGCCTGATTAACTACAGTGGTACCTCTGGTTACGTACTTAATTCGTTCCGAAGGTCCGTTCTTAACCTGAAACTGTGTTTAACCTGAAGCACCACTGCTGCCGCCGCACGATTTCTGTTCTCATCCTGAAGCAAAGTTCTTAACCCGAGGTACTATTTCTGGGTTAGCGGAACCTGAAGCGTATGTAACCTGAAGCATCTGTAACCCGAGGTACCACTGTACTCAAACAAACTTAAAAATGGAAAGTGTAATCCTGGTGGTCAACAAAAGAGGTTCAAAGACTCTCTCAAGGCAAATCTTTAAAAATGTAGTATAAACACTGACAACCGGGAAACACTGGCCTGCGAGTGCTCCAGTTGGAGAACAGCCTTTACCAAAGGTGTCATGGGCTTTGAAGATGCTCGAACTCAGGACGAAAGAGGAAGGCACACTTGGCAAACCCTCACCGTGATCAACTCTTGCCAGAAACCAATGTCCCCACTGTGGAAGGACGTGTGGATCCAGAATTGGCCTCCACAGTCACTTACGGACTCATTGTTAAGTTTGTGTTCATGGAAGACAATCTTACGAGGGATCACCAAAGCAGACGACAACATTCATGAACAGGGAACCTGCCTCTCCCTAAGTCTGGAAGGAGAAGGGTCTACTAGATCAAGGAAGACAGACTCCAACTTTGTCTGATGCGTATCCTCAGTTGCCGCAAGGAGAACGGGGAAGAGGGACATTCACCAAGGGCGCCGCCTCCCAAGAGATGCTCAAAGGGTAGTGAGATGAGAGGTCTCTTCCGGGGTGGCCCCGATGTGGAATGTTCTTCCCAGGAAAGCCTCCCTGGCAAGCGGCATTACAGCCTCAAGGATGACAGACAAATACATGCTTCTCTCCAAATGCCTGGGAAAATAAGTAACAGTCCGTTTTGGGGTGGTTTATTGTTTGGATAAGGGACGCGGGTGGCACTGTGGGTTAAACCACAGAGCCTAGGACTTGCTGATCAGAAGGTTGGCAGTTCGAATCCTCGGGATGGGGTGAGCTCCCGTTGCTCGGTCCCTGCTCCTGCCAACCTAGCAGTTCGAAAGCACGTCAAAGTGCAAGTAGATAAATAGGTACTGCTCTAGTGGGAAGGTAAACGGCGTTTTCATGCACTGCTCGGGTTCGCCAGAAGCGGCTTAGTCATGCTGGCCACATGACCCGGAAGCTGTACGCCGGCTCCCTCGGCCAATAAAGCGAGATGAGCGCCGCAACCCCAGAGTCGGTCACGACCGGACCTAATGGTCAGGGGTCCCTTTACCTTTTTTATTGTTTGGATGGGTGCGGGGGTTATTTTAGGCTGCTGTTTGTTTGTTTTCAGTCATTTCATCAATTTCATACACAGCTTGATTGTAAAGAAACCTTGAAGCGGTTTGCAGGAATAAACACCAAACAATAAAATTGTCAGTAAGACTTTAGGAAAGTTGAAACAAGAATAAACAACAAACAGATTAAAACTCGCACCAACTTTCTAAATATCTGGGTAGGCTCGTCTTAAGCAAAAATGCTTTTAGCGGGCGGGCTTTACCTGCTAATAGTAACACGAACCTGCCCCCCATTGCTGTTTCAGTATAATTGCTTTAATGCATTTTTGATTTATATATTTTATTCTGCCTTTTCTTGTTCCTGTTAGTCTTTTCTGGACTCCTTCAGACCATGCAGAAGCGATGCATAGATTGGATGGAAGGGAGCCCTAAATGTGTGGTGGTTTTGCACCTCTATGCAGAATTTGTCTTGCTTCTTCTATTAAGGCTAACGCAGACCAAAGCTGTGTACACCTTTATATATCTTTAAACCATATGTTTTCCCCTCAAAGAATTCTTTAAGGGCTGCTGGGACCTCTTAACCCTGAGAGGACTAATTGACATTGCCCAGAACTCTTTGAGGGAAAGAATGTGCATTAAAGGTATGCACAGCCTGTTTTCGGTTTCTGAATCAGCAGAATAAGGCTTCCGTCTGTTTATTTTTTTAAAATATCCCCCGCAACCCAAACACACAATGGTTCAGAGTCGATTCATCTGTCTCGGACTTCCTTTTGACTAAGGCATGACTAATAAACCTTTCCTCATTTTCTTGCCTGGTTGCAAAGTTCACCGGAGGTTTTCTTTAAATATGACAATTATTTTTTTTTTTCTTGCAGAGGCATGAATTCTGTCCATGCTGGAAATCTAGGCCTTGACTCGCCTACATGTATAGGATCACAGAACTGTAGAGTTGCTGGGTACCACTGAGGGGCAGAACTAGTCCAAACCCTTGCAATGGGATTGCAGGGGGCACCCATATTAGTACCCGTGGGCACAACTTTTCCAGGTCGCCTTCTTCCTCTGTCTGGAGCGGCGTCCTCGTCCCTCGCTGCTAGCTGCCCAGCCAGACACTTGACCAGCTCCCATCATCTGCTACCTCAAAGTGTCTCGAAGCGACTTGCATTGCAAAACAAGAAATAGCAACAAATCTCACCGTGCGCAGGAAGAAGGATAAAACCAGAACCTAAAAAGTGCAAGCGTAAATCGTCACAAAAAGACATATCCAACTCACGCCACCGAAAGCATGAGAGGCCATAAAAAAGGTAAAGGGGCCCCTGACCATTAGGTCCAGTTGTGACCGACTCTGGGGTTGCGGCGCTCATATCGCTCTATGGGCCGAGGGAGCCAGCGTTTGTCCGCAGACAGCTTCCGGGTCATGTGGCCAGCATGACTAAGCCGCTTCTGGCGAACCAGAGCAGCGCACGGAAACGCTGTTTACCTTCCCGCCACAGCAGTACCTATTTATCTACTTGCACTTTGATGTGCTTTCGAACTGCGAGGTTGGCAGGAGCAGGAGCTCACCCCATCTCAGGGATTCGAACCGCCGACCTTCTGATTGGCAAGTCCTAGGCTCTGTGGTTTAACCCACAGCGCCACCCGCGTCCCACACATGAGAGGCCATACACTTATCCAATAACCCTCCAAGTTGAGGGCAAAAAAGTCCTGGGTAAATAAAAACAGCTTTGCTTGGTGCCTGAACATAGGCAATGACTCTGCCAAGTGGGCCTCCTCGGGGAGGATATTTCACAAACAGGGAGCCACCACTGAGAAGGCCCAGCTGGTCCAACCTAGCAGAGCCACCCACCTTGAAGGACATGCCATGCTATTTTCTCACTTGACACCCACGCCTGTTCATCTTCCTTTGCCTGTTTTTATGTCCTTATGTTGTTTGTATACTGTGTTAGTTTTATTATGTTAGCCGCCTTGAGCCTGGCTCCGGCTGGGGAGGGTGGGGTACAAATAAAATATTATTATTATTATTATTATTATTACAGTGGTACCTCTGGTTGCGAATGGGATCTGTTCTGGAGGCCCGTTCGCAACATGAAAGGAGCGCAACTAGCAGCGGCGTACCTGCGAACGCGCGGGTTGCAATTTGCCGCTTCTGCGTGTGACATCATTTTGCACTTCTGCGCATGTGGCGAAACCCGGAAGTAACCCTTTCCGGTACTTCTGGGTCGCCGCGGGAAAGTAACCTGAAAAAACGTAACATGAAGCCGACGTAACATGAGGTATGATACCTCAGGTTGAAGTAGCTTTGGGATGAGCATTTTCAGGCTGTGCGCTGCGGCGACCCAGAAGTAACGGAGTGCGTTACTTCCGGGTTTCGCCGCTTGCGCATGCGCAGACTCTCAAAATGACGTCACACTCATGTGCGGAAGTGGCAAATTGTGACCTGCACATGTGCAGACGCACGGATGCGGGTTGCGTTCGCTTCAGGATGCGAACGGGGCTCCGGAATGGATCCTGTTCGCATCCAGAGGTACCTCTGTATTATTATTATTATTCCTCATTCTCCAATGACAATTTCAGATTGTAGATTCAGATTCTAGGACCCTCGTACCTACGGGACCGCCTCTCCTGGTATGCCCCACAGAGGAACTTACGGTCTTCAAATAAAAACATCTTGAAGGTCCCAGGCCACAGAGAGGTTAGGCTGGCCTCAACTAGAGCCAGGGCTTTTCGGCTGCCGCTCCAACCTGGTGGAACGCTCTGTCACAGGAGACAAGGGCCCTGCAGGACTTGACATCTTTCCGCAGGGCCTGCAAGACAGAGCTGTTCCACCAGGCCTTTGGTCAGGGCACAGCCTGACTCCCTCCTTTGGCAATCTTTACAAAACTTTAGTTTATGGTTGCCATCAATTTTGATTTTAATTAATTTTTATAATGTTTTTATAATGTTGCACTATTTTAGTGTTGTTAGCCACCCTGAGCCCGGCTTCAGCTGGGGAGGGCGGGATATAAATAAAATTTATTATTATTATTATTATTATTATTATTATTATTATTCCTAGAGAGCAGGGACCCACCTCTCCTAGTCTGTGCACAATACAGCAAGGCACCACAGGCAGTGAATCAGAGAATTGTAGAGTTGGAAGGGACCCCAAGGGTCATCTAGTCCAACCCCCTGCAATGCAGGAATCTCAGCTGAAGCATCCCTGACAGATGGCCATCCAGCCTCTGCCTAGAAACCTCCAAGGAATGTGCCATGTAAAAAACACATGAAACAATGATCTCTTCTTACATCAAAGACAGGGTATTCTAAAAGTCGGAGCGATTCCTGCTTTCTTCTTTGGCGCAGACATTTAAGCATTGCACCCAAACGCAGCCAAGATCTCTATTTTTATGTCCTGGAATTTCAATCCAGACAGGGCAATGACATGTCTGGGCTTATCTCCCAAGAGCAAACTTTTTAACCTCTCTCAAGCTTTGTGTTCAGAGAAAGGGGTTTCAACTTCCTCAATTCAGGAATCCCTTTAATCCTGTCACAACTTACTAGGGAAGTTTTTACAGCAAAGGTCCCAGAAACAGGCTCCTACTCAATTACACAACTCTTTTCCCGATAATTTGGCCTGTTTGGGGGATGGGGTGGGGGGAGGAAGGAGAAGGGAGAGAGAGGAGGGTAAACTGCAAGGTGGAGGGTTGCTGTGGGTGGGTGGGTGGTCATGAAAACAGAGAAGGGGGCAATGTTTGAAAGCAAAGACTGGGCACTGGAGGCAGGCACCAGAACGCCAGCCGCCGATCATATTACTTGCAGCCACCGTGGCAATTGCTAGCACACTTCCAGGAAGAGGAGAAACCTAGATTATAAAGTGGAGAGAGAGTGCAAAAGGAAAGGAGCAGTTCAAGTGGTACCTTGATTCTCAGACTTAATCCATTCCAAAACCAAAAGCGTTCCAAAACCAAGGTGTACTTTCCCATAGAAAGCAATGCAAAACGGATTGATCCATTCCAGACTTTTTAAAACAACCCCTAAAACAGCAATTTGACATGAATTTTACTATCTAACAAGACCACTGATTTGTAAAATGAAAGCGATAAACAATGTGCTGCAGTCACACAATCAATCAATCAATCGATAGCAGGACCGAGTTGTTCCACACAGTCACAAAAACAAAATAAAAAGAGCCGCAAAAACAAAAGTGTAAAATAAATAGCAAAAACAGACAGACGTCAGAGTAACACTCAAATTGGAAGTGTGGAATTCAAACTGGAAGCGTAACACTCAAAATGGAGTAAGTTCGGATTCCGGAAAAAGTTCACAAACCGGGACACTTACTTCCGGGTTTGCAGTGTTTGGGTTCCAAGTTGCTTGAGTACCAAGGCGTTTGAGAACCAAGGTACCACTGTCTAGCCAATATCATTTGCCGTGGGAAGGAAGGTTTCCTAACCCAGCTGAATTCCCTTTCAGACTTGACAGGAGGCGAAACCTTCTCCCTAATGGAGAACAGCCTTTACCAAAAGTGTCGTGGGCTTTGAAGACACTCAAACTCAGGATGCAAGGTAGAAATGCGCTAAGAGGAAGGCACGCTTGGCAAATCCACACCGTGATCAACTCCTGCCCGGAAACCAATGCCCCCACTGTGGAAGGACGTGTGGATCCAGAATTGGCCTCCACAGTCACTTACGGACTCACTGCTAAAACCCTGTTATGGAAGATGATCTTACTCAGCTACGAGGGAGCGCCAAAGAAGAAAGAAATTGGTTCACATTGGTACCACCGGATTTCTCCACACGCACAGCTCAGTGAGGCAACGGAAGGGACCCAGCAACTCAGAGGCAGTGCACATGCTTGGAGTGCAGAAGGACTCATTTTCGAAACCCAGGGTCTTAAGGTAGGGCTGGGAAGGGCAGCTGTCTGAAGCTCAGGAGACCCACTTATGTCTGACTCAGTCGAAGGCGGATTCTTATGAGCTTATGGTTCTGGAGTACCTGCTTAGCATGCAGAAGGCACCAGGTTCAATCCCTGGCACTTACAGGTAGGGATGGGAACTTCCCCGTCTGAAACACTGAAGGGAGCTCCTTCCAGACCCGCTTTCAGATGGTTTGCAGAATGAAAGAATCCTAGAGTCGGAAGGGATCTCGAGGGTCATCCAGCCCAACCCCTTGCAATGCAGGAATAATAATAATAATAATAATAATAATAAGTTATTATTTATACCCCGCCCATCTGGCTGGGCATCACCAGCCACTCTGGGCGGCTTCCCAAAAAATATTAGAATACTGTAATACATCCAACATTAAAAGCTTCCCTAAACAGGGCTGCCTTCAGATGTCTTCTAAAAGTCTGGTGGTTGTTGTTCTCTTTGACATCTGGTGGGAGGGCATTCCACAGGGAGGGCGCCACCACCGAGAAGGCCCTCTGCCTGGTTCCCTGTAACTTGGCTTCTTGCAGAAGTCCCTTGGTGCTGGACCTCAGTGTCCAGGTAGAATGATATGCAGTTGTCCAGTATGGGAATCAAACCTGCAAGGTTGCCATTATCAGCACCACGCTCTCACAAACTGAGCTCTCCAGGCTGTTAGTCCAAAACATCTGAAGGGAACCAGGCTAGTGAAAGATGGACAACATGAAACTCAATTCTACTAATGATGGAGTGGGGAAGTGGATTGTACAACTGGAATAAGGAGGGGGCATTTTCAAATGCTCGCTTAAATCATTATTCCCCCACCGCCCCACTTATTTGCTTTTTTAAAAAGGAAACAGAAACACGTGGGGGTTAATGTTCCAGGTGAGCCTGCACCTTGCGCAGAAACTTGCAAGCGGGGAGCATCCAAAAACATGAACTCCGACCTCCAGCGGTACAGTCCATTCCCCATTTCAGAACCACACCACCTTATTCTACTACCCACATGTCTCGATCCCTCGCAGCTACATAGTGGGTTTCGAAGTTCTGTTCCTGGTCCGTTCACATGTGCAAGGCATCGCTGGGCGCGTGCAGAGTAGACCAACAGGCCAGTGTGTGTACATGCAAACACACATTTGCCCCTTCGTTTTAATGACCCGTTCACCACCTTACAATGTTTGACTTCTACACTTTAAATGTCTTAAGTATGTAACTACCTAAACACCTAAGGAATCAGCCCTAAGGAATCCAATGAATTCATTCCACACACTAACACGTGTTAGCTGCATCCAAGGCTAATAAACACACCAGCAAGGCAAAATAAATAATAATAATAATAATAATAATAATAATAGCTTCTTCGCAATGAAATGTTTTAAGCTCCTCACTCAGCGGGCAAGAAAGCAGTTCCATTTGAAAGCATCCTTTAAGCCAGAACTTTGCAAAAGTCCTGGAAAATAATGAATGCCTTTGATTTCAGGAAGGGAACAAACACAAACAAACACACACACCTCTCTTGAACAGATCGGCTTCAAGGGCGTCCCTCGGTTTTGATCAGCTCGCTCCATCGCAGTTTCTCTGGAAACCGACCCTTTAAGTTTCAAAGCACGTGTACGTGTGTGTGTGTGTGTGTGTGTGTGTGTACGCTTGTTCCACCCCCGGGGACAGAAATGGGTGCTTTAAAAATCCACCCCAAGTATGGATGGATGGATAGGAAACAGACCAGGTATCCAACGTGGTAGTTTAGCATCGAGTAAAAAAAATTTAAAAATGAATGAATGAAAGGGGGAAAGATGCAGGACATCAGCACGTCTGAATGCGCCCATGATGGAGGAGATGTGGCGAGCCTGCCTTCCCGTCAGGGGAAACGAGCTCCGGGGAAAACGCGGCGCAACTTTCATAAAGCTCACCTTTGTCTGCCTTTCTCCAGCTCTTGCAACCTGGAAAGAGTCCCTCCCCGCGCCTGCTCTCCGCAAACGATGCGAATCCAATTCGCATTCACGCCCGCCCTTTCCCAAGTTCGGGTCGCCGGCAGAGCAAGCCAGCGCCGACCCCCACCCCTTCTCTCACAAAAAGACTTCCAAAAGAGGCTTGCCAAAATCAGAAAGTTTTGCAAGAAGAGCACAGACGGCCGCTCACCTTCCTGTTTTATAATTTTTGGCTTCGGAGACTTGCAATGGAGGAGAGGTTTCTCTGCTTCCGTCTCCTCCTCGGCAGCCAAGCTCCTCGCCAAGCGGAGCAGACCGGGGCTGGGAAGACGCAATTTCAAAAAGAAAAATACAACCAAACCGGCAATGGAGCAAGAAGGGGGAGGGAAAAAAGCGAGGCTTGCAATGGAATCCACAAGGAAAGCAGCTTTCAGAAGTAGACGAAGCAGCTGCCGCCTCCACGGCCAGCGCTTTGCAAAATCGCGGCTGCTCGGCTTGTCTCTTTTTGTGGAAGTCCCCAGCAGGCGAACTGGATCTCTTTTCTCCGCGCACACACACAAAACACACCCCTCCGGGATCAGCCTTTCACCTCTGCTCGATGCATCCCCTCCTCCTCCTCCTCCTCCTCCTCTTCTTCCCCCTTCACTGCACTAATCCCTCCTTCTTTCCCCGCATCTCCTCCTCTCCAGCGGCCAGGCGGGCGGGCGGGCGCGCGCTCTGTGCTAGCATGTGCCGGCTGCCTCTCCAAAGGCACCAGCTGAACGGCGGCGGCGGCTGCAACTCCTCTTTCCCTGCCTTCCCCGGGCGGGGAGCGTCTCCAAAGTGCACAGCTCCGCCCCGCGCGCCCAACCAAGGCGGCCGCCAGCTGGTTTGGAGAGAGCGCGCAAAAGGCTGCTGCTGCGCGCGCGCGCGGAGAGAGGCGCACAGGGATCGTCTCTCTGAGTTGGGCGGGTGGCTGTTGTTGTTTAGTCGTTTAGTCGTGTCGGACTCTTCGTGACCCCATGGACCAGAGCACGCCAGACACTCCTGTCTTCCACTGCCTCCCACAGTTTGGTCAAAGTCATGTTGGTAGCTTGGAGAACACTGTCCAACCATCTCGTCCTCTGCCGTCCCCTTCTCCTTGTGCCCTCCATCTTTCCCAACATCAGGGTCTTTTCCAGGGAGTCTTCTCTTCTCATGAGGTGGCCAAAGTCTTGGAGCCTCAGCTTCAGGATCTGTCCTTCCAGTGAGCACTCAGGGCTGATTTCCTTCAGAATGGATAGGTTTGATCTTCTTGCAGTCCATGGGACTCTCAAGAGTCTCCTCCAGCACCAGAATTCAAAAGCATCAATTCTTTGGCGATCAGCCTTCTTTATGGTCCAGCTCTAGGTGCGTCTTGTGGTCTGGTGCGTCTTATAGAGCGAAAAATACGGCAATTAACGGATGTTCTGCTCCTCCCCCCCCCCCGCAGAAGCCTGTCACCCATCTCCCCCCCCCAAAAAAGCTTTTGGGGGAGATTTCCCCAAAACAGCTCATCAACTTGTTGGGCCCCCTCCTAACAAAAATCCTGGCTATGCCCGTGAAATGAGGGTGCAACTTTGCAAGGAGAGATAAGTGTGTGTGTGTGTGTGTGTGTGTGTGTACTGCAGGCAAGGATAAGGGGGGGGGGCAGTCTTTCAAAAGCAGAGGTACAGTGGTATCTCGGGTTAAGAACTTAACTCGTTCCGGAGGTCCGTTATTAACCTGAAACTGTTCTTAACCTGAAGCACCACTTTAGCTAATGGGGCCTCCCGCTGCTGCCGTACCGCTGCTGTGCGATTTCTGTTCTCATCCTGAAGCAACGTTCTTAACCCGAGGTACTATTTCTGGATTAGCGAAGTCTGTAACCTCAAGCATCTGTAACCTGAAGCGTCTGTAACCCGAGGTACCACTGTACAGAGGGTGGCTGGATCTCGCTCGCTCCCACTCCTTTTCCTGTTAGGGACAGGAGGAGGAGGTGGCGAGCTGGGGGGGGGGGAGGTAGAAAGTTTCAGCAGATGGATGCAGAGAAGGGAACATCTGTGGGAGGGGGGGAGGGGAGGGTCTGGGCTCTTTTCCAGCCCCCCCCCCCAGAGTAACAGCTTGGTGGAGGGCAGAGAGAGGTCCTGGGAGATGGGTTGGGATGAGGCGGAACAATTATTCCAGCTTTCTTTCATTTTGGTGATAAATTTGGAGCTGCTTGCTAAGGACCTAGGTTGAGTCAGCCACAAAGTGGGGGGTACTGTGGTGTAAACCACTGGGCTTGCTGATCAGAAGGTTGGCAGTTTGAATCCACCCACTGTGGCTAATCAGGGGTCCTTTACCTTTTCTTTTTATCCTGGAAGTGGTGGATTTATACTAAATATTCCTAAACCGGCTAACCTCTGCCCGAGCATAATTTATTCAATGGAGTTTTCAGCCTGCATCTGTACAGTGGTACCTGGGATTACATACGCTTCAGGTTACGGACTCGGCTAACCCAGAAATAGTGCTTCAGATTAAGAACTTTGCTTCAGGATGAGAACAGAAATCGTCCTCCAGCGGCAGCAGCGGGAGGCCCCGTTAGCTAAAGTGGTGCTTCAGGTTAAGAACAGTTTCAGGTTAAGAACGGACCTCCAGAACGAATTAAGTACTTAACCCGAGGTACCACTGTGTAGCAAAAGATCAGGCTTCCACTACACGGATGTGGGTAGACTAGACTCTGACCATGTGCAAAGTGCATCCTGTTGGTGCCCAGTAACAGCTGGGGTTAGGGGCTGCAGGATGGTGCCAGGAAAGAATTTTCTGGGTTAGTTCATGCAAACCAGCCCAGCCAGGTGAGATAAGAGCCGAGCCACTGAGAAGCAATAGAGAGCCAGGAATTGGCCATTCAGGGCAACTGGCAATGCCAAAAGCTATCTTTCCCCTGCTGCAAAGAGTGGAGAAGACGTCACACAGGAAAGATGTGTCCCTTTTAAAACAGTGAGGTTTGGAGAAGGAGAGGGGACATTTAGCCAAAGTTCTTGGGAAGGAGAAAGGAGGAGACTGTCAGGAGTGCGTGCAGGAGCCAGGCCCTGTGACCAGTAGGGCTTTGCAGGACTGGGGCCTTCCTAAGTTTGTTCTGGAGATGCAAGGCGCGGCCACACAGGTGAGGCTGCTTGGTAACTCACTGCACCTGGTGGCAAGAGCCGGGAAGGGATATAAGGTCAGCATTTCGCTTTGGCTCTTTGCCACAGCAACATGTTCCCTGCCTTGCTGCATTTGGCTTCTTGCTTCCTGATCTTCGGACCTTGACTTCTTGCTTCTCGACCCTCGGACCCCTGACTTCATGACTCCTTGCTTCTTGATCCTCAGACCCTTGACTTCATGACTCCTTGCTTCTCGACCCTCGGACCCTTGACTTCGTGACTCCTTGCTTCTTTATCCTTGGACCCCTGACTTCGTGACTCCTTGCTTCTCGACCCTCAGACCCTTGACTTCGTGACTCCCTGCTTCCTGACCCTCAGACCCTTGACTTCATGACTCCTTGCTTCTTGATCCTCGGACCCTTGACTTCATGACTCCTTTCTTCTCGACCCTCGGACCCTTGACTTCGTGACTCCTTGCTTCTTTATCCTTGGACCCCTGACTTCGTGACTCCTTGCTTCTCGACCCTCAGACCCTTGACTTTGTGACTCCCTGCTTCCTGACCCTCGGACCCCTGGCTTCTGGACTCTCATTCCTGCTCCCACCCCGCCATCTTGCCCCCGGTCCCAACATCCTCAGCCGGGACTTCGATCGCCCATAGACCAGACCGCGACAGGGCCAGAAGAGATTGCATAGGCTTTTTGGGGGCAGAACCATCTTGCCAGGCTGGGACAGAGACATGAAAATGGTGTGCAGGATGACTCGGACTCCAGTGCTGTGGGGATCAAGGTGTAATACTGCAAACTCTCTTCCTCCACCGAGACCCATGTGTAAAATAAGCAGTCTCCAACGTGCCTGAATTCCCAACGGAGACACGACCCTGGGTTCGAGTCCTACCATCCAGAGCAGGAGAAAACAAGCTTGCTCCATCCTCCATGAAACTGCCCTTGAAATATTTGAAGATGGCCATCTCCTCTTCTTCCAGGCTAAACATACCCAGCTCCTTCAACCGTTCCTCATCAGGCTTGGTTTCCAGACCTTTGATCATCTTGGTCGCCCTCCTCTGCACACCTTCCATATCCCATTGTCAGTGTGTTTGTGTTATTGGCAGGGACCAAAGTGTTCTGTGCATAGGTAGCATGCAAGGGTCACACCAGCAAGAGTATCGAAGCCTCGGGCAGCAGCCATCTGGAGTCGTGCTAACAGTTGCACCAGATTTACTAAAGTTTGTTTGTTTCAGTCTCCCCGGGCATCCCTGTAATAAAGTTTGCAGCAGCAAATATTAACACTGCTGTTGCCATTGTTACAAACACATCTGCTCTGCACCCTTGCTTAAGCTGGTGTGGGTTAGCTGATGCCTCAAGAAAGGTCATTACAGAAAATTACATTAGTCAGCCCAGACTATCGCAGATGAACCCACCCTGGTGACTTCACTGAGACGTTTTGTAATCTGAGGCACACCCGACGATGTAAGCTTACATTCCTCCTCCTTGCTGCGTTGGGCTAACATGAATTATAACAACAAAACACATTCAGCCATGGCAAAATTGACCTGAATGGTGAAGCCTGAAGGCATTTGCATCCTGGTTCCTCATGAGGGCTAGCTGCTTTTTGGTATCTCAAAAAACAAGGAGCAACTTCTGAGATTTTCCCCGAGGTTCATAGGAAGCTCACCATCAACAATTGGAGTTTCTGGTAGATTAAGAACAATAACAAAAACACATTGGGTTTGGTTTCATTTTCAGCTGAACTGTTGACAATCCAGAGTCTGTGGTCACCATCACATTATTCGTTTAAACACAGTGCTTCCCGCAAAAAATCTTGGGATCTGTAGTTTATTAAGAGCGCTAGGAACTGTAGCCCTGTAATAATAACAAATGATAATAATAATAATAAATTATGTATACCCCGCCCATCTGGCTGAGTTTCCCCAGCCACTCTGGGTGGCTCCCACTCGAGTGTTAAAAACAATACAGCATTAAATATTTAAAACTTCCCTAAACAGGGCTGCCTTCAGGTGTCTTTTAAAAATAGGATAGCTGCTTATTTCCATGACATCTGATGGGAGGGCATCCCACAGGACAGGTGCCACTACCGAGAAGGCCCTGTTCCCAAGATGCACTTTAAACATCTGGGGTGCCTGTGACTTGTGAGATAGAAGGTTGGCATCTTTCAGCCTGGATTATTATGGACTGTCAAGCTGTTTGCCGTGTCTCCGGGGCAAAATGAGTAGGGTGGCAAGGGCTTCTTCTGTATTAGGTGTAAGCATGTGAATCTTGTCGCTTTATTCAAGACAAATGGGAGGTTTCCAGGTGGGGGCTGCAAAAATGCTGTTCGATATCCTAAACAGTATGTTGGTGACAAGTTGTTTTACTGGGTTTTCCACTGAAAGAGTAAACTCTGATTAAATGAAGGGAAATACAGGCGAGCACTTGGGAGATGGAGGAAAAGGTTGTTCAATCCTTGCAGACCTTCATTAGTGTAAATAGCAATTTCAGTTTCAAAGACTGAAGAAGAAAGGAAATGGTGGCACTATTTATTAACCTATAAACCAGTTTTGTTTCATTTTTTGTTTTTTTAAAGGAAGATGTCACGGTCCGGTCTACAGGTGATCAAAGTCCTGGCTGAGGACATCGGGACCGGGGGGAAGATGGCGGGGTGGGAGCAGGAACAAGAGTCCAGAAGCCAGGGGTCCGAGGGTCAAGAAGCAGGAAGTCACAAAGTCAAGGGTCCGAGGATCAGGAAGCAAGAAGCCAAATGCAGCAAGGCAGGAAATGTGTTGCTGTGGCAAAGAGCCGAAGGGAAATGCTGACCTTATATCCCTTCCCTGCTCTTGCCACCAGGTGCTGTGAGTTACCAAGCGGCCTCACCTGTGCAGCCGCACCTTGGCTCTTCAGAACAAACTTAGGAAGGCTCCAGTCCTGCGAAGCCCTACTAGTCATAGGGCCTGGCTCCTGCACGCACTCCTGACAGAAGACATCATCTTTTTGTTGTTAAGTCGTTTAATCGTATCCGACTCTTCATGGACCAGAGCACACCAGGCACTCCTGTCTTCCACTGCCTCCCACAGCTTGGTCAAACTCATGTTTGTAGCTTCGAGAACACCATCCAACCATCTCATCCTCTGTCGTCCCCTTCTCATTGTGCCCTCCATCTTTCCCAACATCAGGGTCTTTTCCAGGGAGTCTTCTCTTCTCATGAGGTGGCCAAAGTCTTGGAGCCCCAGCTTCAGGATCTGTCCTTCCAGTGAGCACTCAGGGCTGATTTCCTTCAGAATGGATAGGTTTGGTCTTCTTGCAGTCCATGGGACTCTCACGAGTCTCCTCCAGCACCATAATTCAAAAGCATCAATTCTTCGGCGATCAGCCTTCTTTATGGTCCAGCTCTCACTTCCATACATCACTACTGGGAAAACCATAGCTTCAACTATACGGACCTTTGTTGGCAAGACATCTTAGATGTACAGTGGTACCTCAGGTTAAGTACTTAATTCGTTCTGGAGGTCCGTTCTTAACCTGAAACTGTTCTTAACCTGAAACCTTTAGCTAATGGGGCCTCCTGCTGCCGCTGCGCCGCCAAAGCAAGATTTCTGTTCTCATCCTGAAGCAAAGTTCTTAACCTGAAGCACTATTTCTGGGTTAGCGGAGTCTGTAACCTGAAGCGTATGTAACCTGAAGTACCACTGTACATAATTGTACAACTCTATTCAGCCTTGGTCAGAACTCACCTAGAGTCTTGTGTCCAGTTCTGGGTAGCACAATTTAAGAAGGATGTTGACAAGCTGGAACGTGTGCAGAGCAGCGTGACCAAGATAATCAAGGGTCTGGAAACCAAGCCTTTTGAGGAATGGTTGAAGGAGCTGGGTATGTTTAGCCTGGAAAAGAGGAGACTGAGAGGAGATAGCCATCTTCAAATATCTCAAGGGCTGCCACATGGAAGATGGAGCAAGCTTGTTTTCTCTTGGCTCAGAGGCTAGGACCCGAAGCAATGGCTTCAAGTTACAAGAAAGGAGATTCTGACTCAACATCAGGAAGAACTTTCTGACGGCAAGAGCTGTATGACAGTGGAGCAGAGTGGCACAAGAAATGTTGGGCTCTCCTTTGTTGGAGATTTTCAAACAGATGATGGATGGCCATCTGTCATGAATGCTTCAGCTGTGTCTCCTGCATTTCAGGGGGTTGGACTAGATGTCCTTTGAGGTCCCTTCTGAAAATGGAATTCAGCAAACCTGTTTCCCTGCCTGCAGGAGGCTTGCTGGGAAACCCATATAAGAACCTAAAAGGTTACCTATCAGTCGGAAGAAGGAAACAGAGATCAACCACTGTCAAGTCGGAGCAAAGCGGCTATTAAGCCTGATCTTTATTACTGCTGTTGCAACAGGGTGCTTACACAGGAGGGAGGAGGAACCCAGAACAATGGTGTGCAACTGCAAGCCCTTATATAGACTTTTGAAATTGCCCACCCTGTAGCTCAAGAAGTCCACCCCCAAAAGCATCATACATACATCACAGAAGGAGGCGATCTACACTACAGCTGTGCGGATGCTACCTGCCCAGAGATGGAAGGAGGACAATTTACCTATAAGAACGGCTGATAAAGATGATGGACTACTCCGAACTGTTGAAAATTACCGGGAAAATCAGAGATCAGGAGGACAATAAATTTAATAAAGAACGGGGAAATTTTATAAGTTACTTGAAAGAACATTGTAAACAATTGGAAACATGGGCAGCATTTTAAAAACACTTGGAATGAAGCGAGAATTGTGATAAAAATTGAGATTTAAGAAAATATGAGAAGATGCAGTTTGGAAAGAATATTTGGGGAAACCAGGGATGGGTGGAGGGATGTCCAGGGATTCTGAGAATCCTACTTGTAAAATGATTAAGATTTGTGTCTGATGGTAAATGTTAAAAGTGAAAATGAATAATAGTAATAAAAAACTTCTAGAAGGTCCCGGCCTCCCACTCTTTCTAAGGCTCCTCCTCTCCTGGATGTTTCCCAAGCAGTCTCAAACAGTGCCTGCACACCTCTGACCTCTGTTCTGCTCTTCTCATTACTCTGCGAGATCTTGGAGATCGGAGCAGAGGGGAGATTGTCACAGCAGGAGAGGGGACTCCCTGGATTCTTCAGAAGTCCCCTCTCTGCTTCAGTGCCAGAGTCTGAACTGCTCCCTATCACAGGCTCTTCCTGCTCACTAAACCCTGTTTCCCCTGCTGCATCCAGGCCCTCCTTCTCCCTCTCCCCTCTCCTCAGTGTCCCACCACCAATCCCCCAACTCTGAGCCTTCCTCCTCTGGGGTTTCCCTTGGGGTTTCCCCAGCTGCTTCCTCCCACCTTTCCTCTGCATCCAGCCAGCCCATGACACATGCCAGCCATTTCACAGTTGCGACTACCGACCACCAAATCCTTTCATCTTCAAGAGAGGGAGAAAGAGTGCCTCTTAGATTACATTCAAGCAAAAGGTGTGGACAGGATCTTGGATAGAGGGGACTGCACAGATAAGAAGGGGAAACATCTAGTAAAAGCGAATGAATCGGCTTTTATGCATGCAGAAGGAAGGAAAGGAATTTATTTTAGAAATGATAAGTACCGGTTTACTGTGGATTGATAATTTGCGGAGTAACTCACTTGCAGATCCTGCAAATGTTAAAATATTGTACGTGCCAGAATTGGCAAGTGGATTGCTGATGGCTAAGGATAAATAAAAACAACAAAGAACCATTGTGCTATAAGGTTAACGGAATGCGAACAATTAGGAAAATAAAGCAGCAACAAGAGGAAACTTTGGACACACCAAGAACGGATTGCAGGAAACCGGTGTGGGGGGAAATTGTATTAGATTTGTCTTAAATTGTGGCTGATTTGGTAAAATTTGGAAAATTGATAAAAACGATTTGGTAAAAAAAAAAGAGCGCTGCTCAGACATATTACGTTCAAGCAAAGGGCCCTCTCCATCTGCAAAACGCCTTTATGAGATATGACAGGGACCGATTAGCATATCACAACATCTCTGGAAGAAAAGCACAGCTGTCGGAAGCAAGGAGACTTGTGCGCCAAGTCCCTAGCTCTGCGTAAAGGCGGCCTGTCGGCTGGGGTAGCGCAGCCTCATTGCAAGGCGCGTCAAGACCCACTCTGCAGTTTCTGTGTCCCTGAGCTCAGCCGCCTCTGCAAGGAAATCTGCAAAAT